ATTCTACGATTCTTGGCGGGTGAGGATCAAATTGCAGGTGGCTGAAAGGAAGCAAGAAGCCTGTCACTCATTTCCCTCCAGCCTCGTATAAAAGTCACTGTAGTGACTTTGGTGTCACTTTGACCCTGAAACCACTGTGGGTGGTTACAGGGACTTGGACGCAGGAGATGAAAGTGGCTTGTCCTAAATCCATGACAAGCTTTCTCAATGGCACAGAGGCTGAAGAAGAGAGTGAGAAAACACATTCTGCACTATTTCACCCTGAATTCATCACAAGGGCTAGATAAAGGGACTCTGAGAAAGTTGACAGTGATGCATATTGAGGGGTCCAGGGACAGCTTGCCATCCCCTCCCCTATCTGGTGAAGAACTCATAAAGTTAAGGAGGAAATCTTCCTCCTCTCTCTCCCCAAACTTACATTTCCCCATGGAAATGATTAGTGAGGCATGCCACCATTTGTAAGGGCCGCCCAAAGTGCACTTAATACGGGGTAGGCAGCAACCAGGGCCGTCTTAAGTATATTGGGCACTGTGATGCAAAGATCCCTCCTCCCGCCGCCCCCCCCCCCCGTTTCCCAGAATTGCACACCATTTTTAGGGAGGACAGCGCTGCCAGCGATGTGCCCAGCTTTGAGGGGCTGGAGGAGACAGGCAGCAGCTGGAGGGCAGCACCTCCGCCGGGGAAGAGGCAGAGGCTGGACGCGGCGGCTCCCAGCTCAGCTGGACGCTTCGTGCCATAGTGGCCACAGTAGGCGGAGGCTCCAGGCACTGCGCTGCTTAGGTGCAGCATGGCAGAGTTGGGCAAGGGCGGTGAGCTGATGCCGGGAGGCACAGTGTCCAGCCTCCGCCTCTTCCCTGGCACCCTCCAGAACTTGGCACCCTGGCGCCCTGCACCACTAACACCTCTGGCAGCAACGTATCTTGTCTTTCCTCAACTAACTACAAGGGCGGGGGAGCCAGAGTCTTACTGTAAAGGCAGTGCATGGAAGGGGAGAATTATCTTTTCACTTTGCCACTGGCATCGGAATGGAGATTGCGCCATCTGCTGGGCTAGAAAATGGGAAAATGTCCCCATTTGCCCCCATTTGCAACTTTTAACTGAGTTGGTCCATTTCTGGTGTTATTTAGCCACTAGAGGGCATGTCTACCCTTCCCCAAAACTCCACAGTCGACAGTTTGGCAATACGTTTGTTAGGACCAGCCAAAATGTCCAACCAAATTTGTGGCAAGCTTTCGAGTTCTCCGGTGCTCTTCATCAGGCAAGAGGTTACACAAAACAGGGATTGAACAACCTGCAATCAACATCTTGGAACTAAGTCTACATATTGACCTCATGGCTACAAATATCTAGCCTAATTTTTGTACTTCTATGTTTTTTACTGTTAAATTCCCCTCCCCGCTGTGAAAGCTTCCCAAAATTTAGTGCTATTTGGATTGGTCCCAATAAAAGTATTGCCAAACTGTCAATTTTTTGAGTTTTCTTCTTATGGACCAACATGCATTTTATCTTCCCGAGAAATATTGCTAACAGACTTCCAACCCAGAAGCTTGTTATTCTGCCTGGAACTATAGATCAGGTTTGATCCTATGGGCCTGAGATTTCCACAACAATTTAAAACAGATTAGAGTGCAGCTGATGGCTATGTTATGTCTGTAATAATTTTAAATAAAAATTAAAAGGGGCAGACTTTGCATTAATTTAATGGGAATCCTTGCAGCCTACAAAGGTTAAATTACAACACGACTCCAAAATAAGTTGGCAGATCATAGAATCATAGAATCATAGAGTTGGAAGAGACCACAAGGGCCATCGAGTCCAACCCCCTGCCAAGCAGGAAACACCATCAGAGCACTCCTGACATATGGTTGTCAAGCCTCTGCTTAAAGACCTCCAAAGAAGGAGACTCCACCACACTCCTTGGCAGCAAATTCCACTGTCGAACAGCTCTTACTGTCAGGAAGTTCTTCCTAATGTTTAGGTGGAATCTTCTTTCTTGTAGTTTGGATCCATTGCTCCGTGTCCGCTTCACTGGGGCAGCAGAAAACAACCTTTCTCCCTCCTCTATGTGACATCCTTTTATATATTTGAACATGGCTATCATATCACCCCTTAACCTCCTCTTCTCCAGGCTAAACATGCCCAGCTCCCTTAGCCGTTCCTCATAAGGCATCGTTTCCAGGCCTTTGACCATTTTGGTTGCCCTCCTCTGGACACGTTCCAGTTTGTCAGTGTCCTTCTTGAACTGTGGTGCCCAGAACTGGACACAGTACTCCAGGTGAGGTCTGACCAGAGCAGAATACAGTGGCACTATTACTTCCCTTGATCTAGATGCTATACTCCTATTGATGCAGCCCAGAATTGCATTGGCTTTTTTAGCTGCCGCGTCACACTGTTGGCTCATGTCAAGTTTGTGGTCAACCAAGACTCCTACATCCTTTTCACATGTACTGCTCTCAAGCCAGATAATATATTCCCATTCAAACAGACAAGAACATAAAATATGAGCGAACTCTCAGGTCTCCTAATCCTACTTTGTAAGCAGTAAAGCAAGACCATTCGACCGATGTGGGCCTACACAAAGCTTGTGGCATGAATATCCACAAATCACTTATATCAAAGCATACCAAAGAACTCAGAGTTCTGAGGAAGTATAGGTGCCAACTCCCTGGGGCCCTGACCACCCACAAAATCCCCCATGAAGGGGCCAGGCACCCACAAATTTCGGCACCAGGGCCATGCACGCTTCATGGCACCCACAGCCCCGGGCACCCACTGTCGCAGGGCCAAGCTGGCATTCCTGTGAGGAAGTCTTCCTTCCAAGCACTGTTCAGACCTGCAGACCATGTGCCAGGATATGGGATAATAATAATAATTTAAAGCAGATTGCCCAGTTGCACCAAGAAGGACAGGGCTAGCAGAAAACAGCATAGCACTGCCAGGAGGAAGGACTGTTGACAGTCACGGGCCATCATACTTATAGACCCTCCCAATTTATCTTTTACAATGGAATTGCAGATGTTCTAAGAAGACTTATGCCCAGTTATGAATATGTCCAAATCTGTGTGACGGGGGTGAGCTCCCATTGCTCTGTCCCAGCTTCTGCCAAACTAGAAGTTCAAAAGCATCCCAGTGCAAGTAGATAAATAGGTACCACTGTGACGGGAAGGTAAATGGCGTTTCCATGCGCTCTGACTTCCGTCACGGTGTTCCATTGCGCCAGAAGTGGTTTAGCCATGCAGACAAATGCCAGCTCCCTTGGCCTGAAAAGTGAGATGAGCGCCGCACCCTATAGTCGCCTTTGACTGGACTTAACTGTTCCTTTACTCTTTTTTACCTTTATGTCCAAACAGACCCCAAACCATTACTGTGGATTAGGTCTGCAACAGTAAATAGGAATACTCTGGAGTCAATATAAACTCTTTCCATTCTATCCAAACTTAAAAAATCAGAAGAAAAAGAAAATGATAGCCTTCCTGGTTAATCCAATAGGCCATCTAAATGATAACCATCCTCTGCTAACATTGGCCTCAGAGAAGTTACCTATAGCTTATTATTAAGCCATAGCATCTGGCAGTCAAAAGTATGTTGCTCCAAGGGGAAACGTTAGAAGACTAAAAAGCTTTTCTTGAATTGTCCTATTGCTGCAGCTATACCTCCCACATATAACCGGCTCTGAAAGCAAACTGGTAGAAATTACACTGGAAAGGACTGTGGAATTGGTTTAGCTCAGGGGTCAGCAAACCTTTTCAGCAGGGGGCTGGTCCACTGTCCCTCAGACCTTGTGGGAGGCCGGACTATATTTTTTTGGGGAGGAGGAATGAACGAATTCCTATGCCCCACAAATAACTCAGATATGCATTTTAAATAAAAGGACACATTCTACTCGTGTAAAAACACCAGGCAGGCCCCACAAATAACCCAGAGATGCATTTTAAATAAAAAGACACATTCTACTTATGTAAAAACACGCTGATTCCCAGACTGTCCAAGGGGGCCAGATTGAGAAGGCGATTCGGCCGGATCCGGCCCCCGGGCCTTAGTTTGCCTACCCATGGTTTAGCTTAAGGATGACCAACATTTCGGGATGAGCGTTCCTCTACCTTTAACTGCTGCATTGGGAATCTCAGCAGGTGTAGCCTGATGTCTCATTGTGCTATGAGCATTTGAAAGAAACTCTGCTGAAAATAAAGTTGCAGGGACCCTAATCTTCCTTCTCTCTCTTTATATCTATTCCTTTTCAGAACAAAAGCACCAACCATTGGAAGACCACAACTGTTCTCTTTATTTTCCGAAATAGTTGATTTTTTCTCATAGCGTGGTCATCTTTAACCTTGCAGACAGTTAAATCAGAAACTACTCCCAAGAAAGAAAGAAAGAAAGAAAGAAAGAAAGAAAGAAAGGCATTCTTCAAGGAAGGAGCAAGACGGGTCCTTCTTGGATTTTACCACCTCTTTCAAAGGGGGAGGGGAAATGGCCATTGCCAATTTGCAGGCAGACATTTACTTTAATTATCACTTAAAATATTAACATTTAAAATGGACTTCTTTGAATATTTTTATGAAGGCCACTAACCCTCCCTGTCTCTGTTTAAAAAATACTGGCTGTTGTAGAAGATTAAGGCAGAAACGAGCATGCCAGGCTTTCCTCATGGCTTCAGACCAGCTTGAGGACTGCGATTCCCTCAAAATCCGGCTTTTTAGCGAAGGATTGGAAGGAGGCTGTCACTGAACAAGAAGACTTCTTTATGGCAGGGAAGCCTCAGCCTAGGTACTAAAACAGAAAATCAACAACAACCACCCCACGTGGTTTTAAGTGGCGCATCCTTGCGTTGCATAGAGAAGAGTGCAGGATGCAAACACACCTGAGAGTCTCCTAGGCCCATTGCAAGATGGCAGTTGGGGAAGGAGGAGAAGGCGGTTCCATTGCCTGGGAGATGTGGGCGGAGCTTGAAGAGGCAGCCTATATAAGGGGACGGAGGCCGGGCGGCGGCTGCAGTGAAGCCCTAGAGAGGGAAGGAGGAGCCTTTGGTGGCCAGGCCAGGGGGAGGACGCCAGGTCTGGTCTTACGCCTCGCATGGTTCTGTTTGTGCCTTTGGGCTCCCCTTCCACGCACTTCTCTGTCCTAACGTGTTCCCCTTCCTCCTCCTTTTTCTTTCTCTTGCAGAAAATGAGTGATTTTCACCTGGATCTTAGCCCGCTCAAGGAGCCCCTGGGGTTCATCAAGCTTCTTGAGTGGGTGAGTCTGCTGGGTTAGGGGGTTCAGGTCATATGGGTCACCCCCCCTTCCTAGACTGTCTTGCAGGGCTCTTTCCTTTGATATGGGGTGGGGGGCTGTGTTGTGTTCTCCTAAAAGACCTTGAGGGACGGTGGAATAAAAAGTTTTTAGGCTGAGGTTGCAGTGCTATCCTATTTGGAAGCAAGGCCTGTTGGGTTCAAGGAGGCTTACCCCCCCCCCAAAAAAATGTGGGGTTAGGCTTGCCTCCGAAGTGGTGAGGCCTAGACTTGCGCTTGCTTTGGAACTGACTTTTAAAATAGTTGCCTTGTCTTGTTAGGCCTGGCGTGGCCTAAATCCTTCCCCAGCTGTTTCTAAGCCTCTGTTCCCTTAAAACTCCTGGTCTCTATGAATCCTGATGTTGGCTGTAATCTCCCAGTAGGTTCCTTTAATACAAAATACTAAATTACTGGAAATAATTTACATTAAAAAAAAATATGCGGCAGTAATGCCTGCGTGCAGTTTCTTCTGCAGCTATGGTGAAAACCCTGAAAGGCTATGATGTTGAACGCTTAATTTGTAAGGAGTAAAAAGTCTTCCTAAGTGTTGGGGTCTCTGTGTAATCTCTCAACAGTCACGTTGCACAGGTCTGTTATTACCATATGTACTATCAAATACCTGTTTTTTCAGTGAAAACTCGGTGTTTTGTTTCCTTCTATAAATTAAAGTTGGGCTTCTGCATTCAAATGGGAAATCCATTTGAATTTGAGGGGGCTGTTTTAAATATGTTGTTGTTGTTTAGTCGTCTTAGTCGAGTTTGACTCTCCCTGACCCCATGAACCAGAGCATGCCTTGGAAACTTCTCAAAGTTTCTCCATTTTATGTCCATGGAGTTTTCTTGGCAAAATATTGGAGTGGTTTGCCTGTTCCTTCTCCAGGTGGATCACAATTAGTCTAAACTCTGGGCTATGACCTGGCCATGCCCGGCATAGATCATTGCTTCTTGGAGTTATTCAAGCCCCTTCCCCACAACAAGGCAGTGATCCATGAAGGGGTTTAAATATAATAGATATATACAATGCAAGGTAAACAGCCAGTCAGATTTTCTGCATCCTATTACAAAGTGATGTCGTTCCTTCTGTTTTACAAATACTAATGTTAACACCCTAAAGCATTCTAGACCCAATTATGATTTTTCTGCTGCATCTAGCACACCCAGCCAGCTTTGTAGTGTTGCCACGTTTGCGTGGTTTGTGCAGGAATGCAAAGCCTAGCAGTATAAGAAGTCCCGCTGCTCCCAGGTCCTTCCATCAATAATAACAACAACAATAATTTTATTATTTATACCCCGCCCATCTGGCTGGGTTTTCCCAGCTACTCTGGGCAGCTTCCAGCAAAATAAAAAATATATAAAAAATGTCAAACATTAAAAGCTTCCCAATACTTCAGATGTCTTCTAAAAGTTGTGTATTGGAAAGTCCAACAGCTATTTTGCACTTTCTGCTTTCCTGCCAGTATCCTCCTGCTCTAGTTCTGGACAGGGTGTTTAGATAATTTTTTGTCACAGATACAGAATTTTGAAATCGAACTGTTGCACATTTCTTTTCTATTGGTCTATTTGTGTATGCATACACACAAGCTATATTTGTTGTACACTGCAATGATGCATCAAATAAAGCAGTGGTCTCATTTTTGTATAGGGCATTTTGTATAGGATGTGGCAATAGCCTGAAAAAGGAGCTAATTTGATGGGAATTCATTTTTGTAGTTTGTCAGGCAGCTTGTAAAAAACGTTATTAAAGACCCTACTGCTTTTTTCACTAGGTTAGTGCAAGGTCTTGCAAATCCTTAAGGTTGGCCCTAATATGCCTGCCCCCCCCGACCCTGACCAATTTCCTCTATCTAGCCTTAACAATTTTATGCCATGATGGACTCACCCACTTGTTTGTAGAGTGATACTCTATACCAGGGTAGCCAACAGGGTGCCCTTCAGAAGTTGGGGACTACAACTCCATCAACCATGACCATTGGCCCCCTGCTGATTGGGGGCCTGATGGAAGTTGTAATCCAATGTCTGGAGGGCCACAGATTTCCTATCCTTGCCTTAGACAGCTACCTAGTTATGCTTGCCTTTGCTTTAGTAAACTTTCTAGTAGAAGACAAATATGCCTAGTTTCCTAAGCAATAAGGTGTACATCTGATAATAATTTGACTGCCTCCAACTCCTTTATAATGGAAGCAACTTGAACATCTTTTGCGTGTTACTAAACTGCTTATCGTGCAGCTGATAAAGGAACTGCTTCTGACAGAAACAGGTTTTGAAACGTTTTCCCCATAACTATTTTTAAATTGATTTTTAATTTCAAGTAACAAAACATTCTAGGTGCCATGCCATTAATAACGATGCCAGCAGCCCTATAAAGAGTAAAGAAACATTCATAACTGTCTATCAAACACCTTCCATATGAACACTCAACAGATTATGCCAATATAAAATTGAATTTCTTTTTTCCCCTTTTGATAAACTTGTATGCTTAAGTATGCTTACAGACAGACTTTGTTTGGATAAATAGGACAATATTTGGAATGAGTTGGAATTATACAATATTTTGTATAATGTAGGCTGTTAGTATTTACAAATATATTAGGATAATATCAAACTTATAAAATAATGTATGGGGTAGGGTATTTTTCGTATACACATTTTTTTCTCTATACATTTTTGTGCCTTGTTTTCATTTTCTTTATAATTGAAAACTTTTCAATAAAATACTAATATCAAAAAACTTGTATGCTTCAGTGCACTGTACATTTATATTGCTTAGGAACTCTGATAAAAGGAACAAACTTTCAGCATTTTTCAGTGCAGTCCTATATATAAACTGCTCAGAAGTAATCACCATTGATTTGGCTGAGACTTTCATCCAGATAAGTGCACATAGTGTTTTGACTGTAGCTACGCCCACTAAAGCTGTAAATTTGGATGGAATTAATGAGTCAAATTAAGATTGGATGTAAAGTGTTCCTTACATTTTGTTAAATTTTCCAAATGTACCGGTACATAAATGCGTATAATAATGCATGTGGTGTATTTTCTCTTTATACAGTTCTTCTCCATGTTTGCATTTGCTACATGTGGAGGCTATAAAGGTGTAACGACGCTTTTAGTATCCTGTAATGGACTTGTAAATGGAACAGTAAGAGCAAGTTTTGCTTATCCTTTCAGGTGAGCCTCTTAAATGGCAAGTGTCTAGTATATTTCTGTATGTAAAGTTTCCTGCCAGTGCTTGATCGTTGGTCACCATTACCTGATTAGCACTAGGTCAGTCCAGCAATTTATAGTTGATAAATCTTTCCAGCTTTAACAAACTACTTAATATTGCTCTGATAAGGTCTTCTAGCAGAGGCTACATCGGTAATTAATGATAGAACATGAACTATGCAAATGTACAGGACAAACAACAATCTTGTCTTTCTAAAATTAGGGCAGGGGGAATCACATTTCTCATGGCCTAGCACAACATGTGCCTGTTCTACAGATTATTATTTTTAAAAAAATCTGAATGGAGAATGAATCCTCTATTATAGTGCCATCAGTAGAAAAAGTTTGTTTTCTAACAGAAGTTTGATGTACCTTGCATGGCAGTTGTGTCCAATGTGCATTCTCTCCAGTAATAGCAGAAATGTTCTCAGAAGAAAAGTGTCTTCTCAGATATGTAGCATCCTGGCCAGGGAGAACCAGTGTATTGGATTGACTACTACTTCCTTTCATGTCCTATTAAATTTGTTCACTGCTAAGAGACCATTTTGCTTTATCTAGTGAAATACACCTGCAGCTGTCTACACTCTCTTTCCTACACATTCTGGATCCGAGCCTGTGTGGCTGCTTTTTCTTGAAGAAGAAAAAAGCCAAATGTGTGTGTGTGTGTATATATATATATATATATATATATACATGCTTAATGTAATATATAGTTTGGTGCTCGGTTCTAGATAGATTCTGTAGTTAACCTGTTACTTTTCTGCTTAATCTGTAGCTGAACTGGATCAAGAACAGGCTTGGGGGTGGAAATTTCCATTAATTTTCCATTAATGTCATTACTCATATGGGCAGACTTGCATAAGATGTAGACTATGAAATACCGGTTTGTCAAAACGTGTTATGCTGCCATCTTTGTTTGGCTTTGTGGCTGCTACTCTTATCACAGTGTCAAGGCCTCAACACATTGCACCCACAGCAGCAAAAAGCAGCTTACACAAAAAGTCAGATGATTCTACTGGTCTTTATTTGTTTTGTAATGACTCCTCTCCTGCTATGTTTTAAGCTGTCTTTATTTTATCTGTAAGCTGCCTTGAGTCCCTATGGGGGGGGCAAGGTGGGGTATGCATATATAATAATGATAATCTACCTTAAGCTGTTCTGCTGTGTGCATTAATCTAGCCTTAACTGCTGAGGATGATAGGTATGCAGGCCTAGGAAATTAACACTATGCAGTTCATTATTTTCCAATATACATACCAGTGGAATGGAAATTGATATGCTAGCTGACGGTTGTACAGAGAGTGAAGCTTAACAGCCCAGTTGCCTGTGCTCTGTGATGACTGTAGTAGCTTCCCTTGATAATTTCTGCTTACTTCTCTTTTAGGCTGAACAAAGTGATCTTTGGTTCGCCAGATCCAACCCGATGCAATGGCACTTGGGGTGAAACCCATCTCGTGGGCAACTTCTCCACCACTGCACAGTTCTTCGTAACTTTTGGAATCTTGATATTCTTGTATTGCATGGCTGCCCTTGTGCTTTACCTTGGTTATATGCACCTGTACCAAAGCGGTGGCATTTTACCAATGATGGTAGGTTGATACTAAGGACAAATCTAAAAAAAACCCTTGAATTTAAGTTACCAGAAGTTTAATTCTGTAACTCAGAAGTCTGGTTTTTTTTTACCTGTTTGATGTGTCAACTCGGCATTCAAAATATGTGGGGGTTCTGTTGTTTTGATTGATTAATTAATTAATTAAGCCGTATGACTACCCCGAAACCCTTGCAGGCACAAACTGTATTGAAAGCAGGGTGGCCTATTATCACCCTAACTAACAGCATCATGAGCACAAGTCATCACAAATGTGCAATAAACAGGACATCTGGAGGGGACATCTGTCTCAGGAGTGTGCTGTGGGGATTAAATGGGAGATAGGAAGAACAGTGTGCACCACCCTAGGCTACTTAAAGGAAGGGCAGGCTATAAATGCAAGAATTGAAGAACAAGTCAGTGTGTTTAGGAGGTGTAATTCCTACTTTAAAGGTAAAGGGACCCCTGACCATTAGATCCAGTAGTAACTGACTCTGGGGTTGCCGCGCTCATCTCGCTTTATTGGCCGAGGGAGCCAGCGTTTGTCCGCAGACAGCTTCCGGGTCATGGGACCAGCATGACTAAGCCGCTTCTGGCAAACCAGAGCAGCGCACGGAAACTGCGTTTCTCTTCCTGCCGGAGCAGTACCTATTTATCTACTTGCACTTTGACGTGCTTTCAAACTGCTAGCTTGGCAGGAGCAGGGACTGAGAAACGGGAGCTCACCCCGTCGCGAGGATTCGAACCGCCGACCTTCTGATCGGCAAGTCCTAGGCTCTGTGGTTTAACCCACAGCGCCACCCGCGTCCCACAATTCCTACTTTGCATAGTATCTATTTGTTGGTGCAGAGAATTTCCCTCAAGTTCTGTGAATGGAGCATGCCTGCATGAACCTGAAAAGTAGTCTTCTATCAGGTGTCCTTCAGATGTTTTTAACTACAACTCCCATCAACCCAGCCATCATTAAAACATCTGGAGGGAACCAGGTTGAGAGAGGCTGCTGCTGAAGAGGGTAAACTTGCATTTTCAACTTCTTGAAATAGAGGACACGACCAGCATCTTTTGAGCTGTGTTTAGCTGCATCGCTTTTAGGCTCTATGGTTTCTTCTTTGCAAACTGTAAAGGCATCATCAGTGCTACACCCAAGTGACTTTTTGGATAAAAAGCTGGAGTTATAGAATTCTCAAGTGGTCTGTATTTTGGCCAAATAGTCACTGCTACATAAGGAAAGTGTCTTCCAGAAAATAGTAGCATGCTTGCTAGGAGTGTGGTTGGATGGTTAGATACTTGAACACAGCTGCTAAAATGAAAATGGTTTTATGTCAAGTGATAGTAAATATTGACTACCCCTTCCCAACCCCTCAATGCATTTTAGACTGAAGCAATTGGTAACTTTGGACTGTCTCATTACAGGATTATGTCTTCACTCTTAGCGCCGTTTTTCTGTGGCTAGTCAGCAGTGCTGCGTGGGCAAAGGCACTTGTTGATATCAAAGTATCAACTGGTCCACGCATTATTGAAGAAATATCTGCTTGCAAAATACCAGGAACCTCCTGTTTGTTTGATTCGGTAACCAGCATGGGAAGTCTGAATGTGTCTGTGGTATGTATGTCAGCTTTTGAGCATTCAAGTGCTAGTGTTACGAGCTGAATCTAAGTAGCGTCAGCAGATCAAACGTAAATAACCACCCGAGTCTGTAAACTTGGAGCCAAACTAGGCATAATGCAAGAGATCAGGGAACTAACTAATAACCTTCCAGTCTAAATGCAGCTAGAGATTGTTCCCCACTGGGTCCAGTATTCTAGTATTTAATATTAATGTTTAACTGATATTTCTCAGTGTCCTTGCATATGCCCAGACACACAAATGGGAATATAATAATGTAGTAATTGCTGCCTCATCTCTAAACTATGGTCCAAAATACAATGCCCAGAATACTAGCTAGGGTTCCATTTAGAAATTGTATAACTCGTTTTATAACAGCTGCACTGGTTGTAAGTTTGTTTCCAAACTAAACTCAAGGTACTCACATTGGTATTTAAAGTCTTAAACAATGTCGGCTCCAACAGTCTGAAAGACCAACTCCTTCCCTCCAGACTTTCTCAGGTGGTAAGATCAGAGGGTGCCTTCTTGATAGTTTCAGCATCCTCAGGCGTGCTGGTGACTGAGGATACGGGATTCTCAGTGGCAACCCCTAAGTTGTGGAACTCCCCAGTTTTCCGGTTTTTTTAGTGGGGGTAGATTGCAGTCTCTTGGAAACTTCCTGCCTCTGCCCTAGACTTTAACTCTGCAGATGTATCCTCTAGGACCTTATTCTTGTGACTGTCATTTGGTTTAAACTGATTTTAATGTTGCATTTTGAATGGTTTTGACGCCCTTTGAGACGGGGTGGAGGGTGGGTAACAAATCAAGCTGGTAACTATTGGGCTGCATGATAAAAGTTTTTGAATTGTTAAGAGGAGAAGGCTTTTAGCTGGTTGTATTCAATAGTAATTAACTATCTGATAACACACATGTCTTAATTTGCAGGTTTTTGGCTTGTTAAATATGGTTCTGTGGGCAGGAAATGCTTGGTTTGTATACAAGGAGACGATTCTGCATAAACCTAACAACGCTTCTCCAGACTCCGGACTTTACCCACCTGCATCAGGAATTTAACTATAACAACAACAAAAAGCTGCATTCTGTTGACAATAGTTTAAAAACCTTGAAGTTCAATGTACTTTAGCTGTTTTTTAAAAATGGAAATTCACTTCAAAGTACATACTCTGGATAGAAAAATCAGTAAGTTTGGAAGGGTTGCCTATACTTGATTGAGTATTCATTCAGTCTAACTCAGACACTCTTGATAAAAATTTGGGCAATCTCTCTGGAAGTAATATTTTGTTAGCGGCATTTGATTTCTACAAAACCTTGCCAGTGTAACTAGTACTCTTCAAGTCTGTGCTGCACTTCCGTTTAACATGCAATCTAAGGAGCTATAAATAACGTTGCCTATTTTAATGCTCTGAAACAGTAATTCTCAAGCTTAAACAGGTTTCAGTTGCTTGGTTTAAAAGCCTTTCCCCTCCAAATTTGGCACACTTGCATTCCAGCTTTTGGTATAATAGTTTAGTTCTTGATTTAGAAGAGAGAGTAAATCTTGGATGACAAAAATACTGAGCCAAGTGCTCTAAATCGGCCTTTGCCATTCTGGTTCTCTCCAGATGTTTTAGGCTACAACTGGCTTGGGGTGGTGGGAGTGGTAATCCAAAACTCCTGGAGGGCACCAGGTTGGCAAAGATTGCTCTAACCACTTGTTAGTCACCCATGCCCATTTAAAACCAAAGTTTAAACAGTGACAACATGTTTAAAATTGAAAAGCTGTTGACATGTGCTAAAATGAGAGAGATTCTGTTCTGGAGTATACTAGTTACGCAAACAGTTTTCCCTTTAGGAAGATTGCTCCTAATTCTTAAGTTTGGATGTATAAGCATTGCTACTTCGTTTTGAGGAAACACCTGTGACATGCCTGTATTTTGACTTCAGTTAAATAAATGGAAGTTTCTAGGAATTTTGTTGGGAATATTCTTCCTTCTGATTTCTTGTCAGCATTGTTAGAGTATTGCAATGCTTGCCCCAGGGTTATTGGTTTCCTCTTCTGACTGTACAGTGTGTCACTTTTTTGGGCGGGTGGGGGGGGGGAGAGAAACTTAATTTTGGCAAATTTCTTTAGTAAGGTGCCTTAAATATGTTTTTGGGTGCGAAAAATTCAAATTTGCTCTTTTTGTTATTGAGAAACATTTAACTTGTTAAGTGTACATTTGATGAAGTACAAATTGCTTTTGGGAAACCAAAGAGTGTTAATTTTACCTCCTGAAAATGCCAGGAAACTGGAGTAAGGTACTCAGGCTAAGGCTGCAGTCTTATACACACTTGCTTTTGAGTCCCACTGAACTCAAAAAGGGCTTAATTTTGTAGAGGTGTCTTGAGTTGCATTGTGATCATTTGCATGTCAGAAGATCAGGAGGGTTGTCAACTGAAATGCAAGCAAAAATACGTGCATTCTTTTAAAGTCACTTTGAATGTGTGACTACTAAGACGTGTACAGCCTCATTATACAGGTTTGGTGTATGTAGCCTTGGTCCTTTCAAAGCTATGAGGATGGGAACATGAGTGCAACGATAGGTTCTTCTAGCAACAGCACCTTTTGCTTCATTAGAAGGTCACCCATGACAAAACTGGATGCATTTTATTTACATGAAATCAGTGGCAACAATGGCATTGTAGAGATCTGAATGGTGAACTTGCATCATTGTTACCCGACCCGTTGTCGCCATCGCAACCACAGAGCCACAGTAAACTTTGGACATGTCAGGGCTACCCACCAGTTTTCAATCACACTCTTTATTGTGTGATTTTCAGATAAGGGGAAAAATGAATTGCAGTAGAATGACATTTGTCTCCTTAATTTGTTGGCATTGCCAAATAAAATAAATCGTGCACTAATCTCTACCCTGACAATAGGAGAATATACGTCTATGGATGAAGGAATCAGTGTAGCTGGCATGTTTAATATAAAATATATCCTCCCGGAACTATCTGAGACCATGGTGCAAATTCCTAACATAAACATGACCTGGAAAGAACAGCTAACGTTTGCAGAAAAGATCAGAACATGAACCCTTGTATTTGCCATAAAGATCTAGTTATCAGTCTCCTCTGTTGGTGGAAACAAGACATCACACAGGCTGTGAAAAAAATGCCTGATATAAATTTATGCTTCAGCAATGGTAAAAGCTAAAGATATGGTATTCACAAAAATTAAGGTTGTGTTTTCTTCACTTCATTCTTGCATCACAAAACACAATAGTGCACTAGAAGGAAAAACAGTTCAAAGAATTTGGTGTCATGTTAGTCACTCACTAAGGAAGCCCTCTCTATAGACATTGGAATCAAAATATGCTTAATCCTCAAGTTTTCAATGGTTGGTTAGCTCACAGTTCCAACAAGACCCATCCTTGTCTCTTAGCGATTTGAAGGATCAACCTTACACTCCACTGGACCACAGGAACATTTGAGACACAATATTGTCTTGCTGAAATGGGATTTTGAAGTGGAGAGCTTAACTCTTGCAGAAGGCACAGATCAAAATTCCTTGACTTGTGACACCACACCTGCTCCAAGATCAGATACACCCACTCCCCTATTCTTCCTTTTAGCACTGTGCTAACTCACTTTCTCTGGGCTTTTGGGTAGTTAGGGACTCTGGACTATTGCCTGAAATTACTAATAGTATGAGAGATTTGTGAGCCACAGCTGAAGCCAGAATTGGAAACAAGAGGCATGGAACCCAAATATGGGTGCTGACGCAAGGGTTACAAAAGAGGCTCATTGCCACAATGGCTGGTTTATTGTAATATATTTCTGGAGAAACTTGCATGGCCATTTTGCTTCAAAAATTAAGATACATAGGATGAGCCAAAATAGAGCCACTTTTGTCAAAAGCCATTGTACCCAAATTATGCTACTAGTATGTTTCTGATTACACATATATCAAAAATCCCATAGCAGCTTGCAGCCACCTTCTATTGCAACTTTCCCACAGGCAAATGATCTTGTCACAAGAACTCTAATGAAATATACCGTACATGCACTTCACTCTGTTTTCTCAAAATCAAGTTCAGTTCCTGCCCCACCTCCCTGTTTCAGATCTGATTTGTTGAGATTACAAAAGCCAAAGTTGCTTGTAAATTATACAGATCGCTCGCCATCCCATTGTATTAAGTCACTGGGATGGATTGTGCTCTAAACAGGCCTTCGCAATAAGAATTGCTAGGCAGCCAGAAGAGATCATTTGGTATCCTCCCTCTTGTGTAGGGGTGAAACTGAAAATTATTACAATTTGTCTTGCTATTTTGATTAAGATTACAGGTGTTTTTTTCTGGGTTACAAATACAACCCCTTTCATTTTGGTATAGACTGATTCTCGTACTTGGGATATATTTTGGGAGAAGGGACCGGGGACTTTTGAGGGGGAGCAGGTGACAAAGACCCCTTGCCCAAAGGCTCTTCTTTTGGCTTCTGCAACTTTAGCTTGCTATTTGGGTCAGAAGTCTCTGTCTTCCTTTCTGTGGACTTTTGTGCCACCTTGTTTTGTCCTCCCAACTTTGGGCCACTGGGCTGAGTTTTCTGTTGGCTTAGATCCCGTTGGACTCTCTTTGTAGTCATCACCTCTGCAGTTGGGTCCTTTGCTTCCAACTTAGAAGGCATGTTGGAATCTTTCCATCTTCGAGCCCCAGACTTGGAATTATATTCATACCATTTGCCAGTGACTATGGAGAAGGGAAAAACAATAATCTAGCTATTCCATATCACAGATTAAGGGGTAAGATTATATTTAGTTTATATTAACAGTGAAGCCAAAGAATCACAGTGACTGCCTGTTTGTGGAATACTCCTCTCAGTTATTTTCACCTGGTGCCTTTGCTGTCATTTTTTGGTGCCAGGTAAAGACTTACCTTTCCCCCAAGATCTTTGAATACACCGAGATGATGTTTTGTTACTAGTGTGCTGGCAAAGCTTCCTGTAGCTGTTATTAAGGGGTTTCAGTTTTTATTGTATAAATGTACTCCGTGTTTTAAACTGTGTTGTTTGTCACTTGGAGACCTTCAGGTAACAAGTAGTAAACATCTGTATGATGGTGATGATGAGATCACTGTCAGGGTTCAGCCATACCCAGACCTTAAACCACAGTACACAGGGAGGAAGCAGGGCACCCCAACAGATCTTCACACCGTTACAACACAAGGAGCTGTTGGATCTGGACATCCTTGCCCCAAGACTAAAGACCACCACACCATCTGCCTGGGTTCCTGGCCAGCTCTCAGACCCTCATGACACATGGGTAGGCAAACTAAGGCCCGGGGGCCAGATCCGGCCCAGTCGCCTTCTAAATCTGGCCCGCGGACGGTCTGGGAATCAGCATTTTTTTACATGAGTGGAATGTGTCCTTTTATTTAAAATGCATCTCTGGGTTATTTGTGGGGCATAGGAATTCGTTCATATATATTTTTCAAAATATAGTCCGGCCCCCCACAAGGTTTGAGGGACTGTGGACCGGCCCCCTGCTGAAAAAGTTTGCTGACCCCTGCTCTGACATCTCCCCCAGGACCAGAGGAGATAGTGAGCCTGGCGGGAGCTGCATGCTGCCAAAAAGAGCTACTTGGGAGGATGGGAAATTGCACAGAATCACCTTCTCAGATCAGGGCCTGGCTCTTACATAAGCTCCCTGCTTCATTGGTGAAGTAACATCTCTCATCCAAGCTCCAGCCTGCCTGACCTTGGGAAAAGGACAGCAAGGATGCACATTGTCTCTCATCCTCATCAAGAAAGAAAGAAAGAAAGATGTCTTCTGGAGAGACGTTACAGCTTGCATTGCACTGAATATATTCATGTACTTAGGTGCTTATTTTATTCTTGTTCTTATGCTTGGTTAAATGTTTTAAATTGCTTTGGGTCACTTATGTGAAAAAAGCAACAAAACCATGTGCTTGTGCATTTGGGTGGATTTGCTGTGGCTTTCCTTAGACAAGCAGAAGGTGAGTTTTGCACATGGAAAAGTTATTCCACACATGCAGTATTAACTGGTAGGCAAACCAATTATTCAATAGTGGCAAATATGTGTTATTACTTTAGTACACTTCCAAAGATTGCAGTTTGGCTTTCCTATTTAAACTGTATGTCACTGATATTTGCCTTGGAAATGTCAGTGTCTCCTTGCAATTAAAGTTAAGCTCTTTCATTTCAAACTTATTTCTTCTTCTCATTTCCCCTCCCATTAGAAGTAGTGATACCTGGGTCTTTTGCTTCACCATCAAAAACAGGGTTTATGTTGGTCATCTCCTAGCCAGAAAAAGAAATCAAGAAATCAGTGTCATTTATTATTTTTTAAATGGTGAGAAGAGCAGAAATATTGACCTATATAGAATGAAGCAGATTTCAGAGACCTATGAAAGGTAGGTTGCTGGGAATCTAATCATTGTGCCAGGTAAATTGGTTGGTTAAAGAGACAGATGCTGTTCTCAGGCTTTTCTGCACAAGGTTTTCCAAACAAATCTTATAGATTATCCATGCTTTATCCATATTTTATGGGAAATGTAACTTAGAATGCAAGAAATAGTACTTTTACAGGTTTCAAAACCTGATGACAAGATGATTTATTCATGGCTCATAAATGTATCTTAACTGCCTATATGCAAATTAGGGCAACTTTATTCAAAGCACGTTACATTCTTGATTCACTTGTGAATGACAATAATGTGTGAAGCAGAGGTAAGCAATGTGGTACCTTCCATATGCTGTTGGCCAGCATGGTTGATGGTCAAGGATGATGGGAGCTGTAGTCTGGAGGACGCCATGTTGGCTATTCCTCATAAACAAAGCATTACAAGGAAACAGCAACTAGGGAGTGGCTGGGCTCTTGCTTCTGTGCATTACAGCAAGAAAAGCAGTGACTCAAATGCTTGTGTGCTTTGTATTTTGAATGTAGGTTCTGAACAGAAAGGAAAAGCTTCTATAACATTAGGATGGGAAGAAAGAAGAAAGGGAGAGTCTTATGCTAGCAACACTTCTTTTTATTTTCTGTTTGATAGCATACATACCCAAACCACTTCTTTCTTAGCTTTCTTCTTTTCTATTGGAAAAAAAGAGGAAAATATGGTCTTGCTTATGCTAACTTTTAACAATACCCCAGATTTAAACTAGACCTGTAATTATGGGCATAGTTTAAATTAAAAAAACACACTAAATAAATAATATGCACCCCATTGAAAGCAATGTAGTGCAGATGGATGGATGAATTAGTGGTGGGTGGTTTCCACACTCAGATTGAATTCAAATGCACACCTGAATCCAGTTTGTGCCTCCAGTTACTGACCTAGCAAGTGATACATATGGGGAAGGAAGCAGGCACTTCAGCTTCAAACAAATGTGGTGGAGAGTACCAGCCTTGTTGGCTATAAACCATATAACAAAACCCTGCCCAGCTCTGCTAATATTTGAAACATTACATTCTGGTCTAGATTTCGATCTAACCTTGTTATTTGACCTCAACAGGACTTTAGAACATGCAAATCTGGACTGAAGAGTTATCTGAGAAATACGCACACAATTTGAAAAAAAGGGGAAATGCATACCTGGTGGTTTCATCCTGTCATAAAATAATAAATAAATAGATAAATGTTAATCTATTTGAGCAGTCATTTGGCAACACAATACACAAATGAGCATTTAATCCTATAATACATATCAAACACAATGGAGACTCCAAATTTTGGATGACGGGCATTTGCTCATGATCCAGGTTTAAGTGGCAGATATCATAACAATGCAATTTAGTACTGATGGCAGTGTGAATGAAGTCTGCCCCTAAACAGAATATGCATGGCATAACATTTTAGTGCTTTTATTCTAGGGGAAGAATGCAACATACCAGGGACTATGATGTTCTGTTAGGTGCTCCTCCTACTGAGGGTTAATTCCTGTTGTTGTCTCATACCCACCCATCTTCCTCCAGTTGCCTTGCTGCAGACAGATAAGAGCAACTGGGTGTTCATATAATACAGTTATTAATTTCTGCTACTAAATTTTGTCTAATGCAATTCACGTGAATGGCAAAACGTTGCATGTTTTAAAAGTAATTTTACTTTGTCTTTCTTGAACAAAGGCTACTCTATTATATTCAGTATTAGTATTTTGCGTTTGCTTTCAGTTTTCTTTTGTGCAAAAAAAGACAAGCTGCTGTAAAACATAGTCCATGTACCATGTGAGATTCTAGGTAAAGTGCGTATTTTACATTGAAACTTAAGTGTAGTGGAAACAATTGAGGGTATGTGATCTTGTTGACTTGCATGGATTCTTAGTGGAGGCAGTAATATATTAGTGTAGAAAGAAATGATACAAGGTGCATTGTTTCTGTCAATTACTTACAGTGGCTGTTTATCAGCTCTAGGTTTTGGAGCTCTAGGCTTTGGTGGGCAGTGGGCGCGGATGTATTTTGCCAGCCAAAAGGTGAGATACGCAAGAAGCCCAAGGAGGATCACGCTGCCAAGGGAAATGATGAATGGCACGTACCAAGCCAAGGCAGAATACACATTTTCTCTGCTAGTCAAAATGATAACACGAGGCTTGCAAAACAAAATTTAAAAATGTCAAAAGAAACACATTCATAATGGAAGGTTAGCCTTTCAGTAGTAACTATATACTGCAGGTACTTTTGAGACTGTTAGAGTGCAATTGTATGCATGTCTCTCTGTCCAGCTCAGTCGGTAGAGCATGAGACTCTTAAATCTCAGGACGGTGGGATTGAGCAAAGGATTCCTGAATTGCAGGGGGTTAGTTTCTATAAGTAAACCCCTTGGGTCAATGGGACTTATTCCCAAGCAAATGAATATAGGATTGCAGCCTTTGTGGATGTGTTTAGAAACTATGGTTTATTTTAGCTCAGCGATTGTCATAGATAGAGAGACTTCTAAAGAAGTGAGGGGGGAGACTTTTGCAACCTGCAGGCCATATTGCTTTGTGGGCAACCTTCTGGGGGCCAGGGGCAAAAGTGGGCGGAGAAATATAAATTTTTCATTTTTACACCCACCCAAGCACCGCCCTCCCCACCTCGTTTCCCTGAACTGAGGATAGAAAGAGACAGTTCAAGGACACACCCCAGGCATGCAAAAATATTCAGAGCGGTGCGTGGCTAGGGTGGAGGCATGACTGAGGGAGAGTCCTGAGGGCCAGATTCAAACACACACACACACGGACAAAGGTTCCCAACCCGAATTCAAAATGGTAGCGTTAATGACACACTCCTAGTCAACAAATCGTTTCACTGGAAAACTACTTTGTGGAGAAGCTGTGAAGAGGTGGGCCCAGGCTTTTCACATCCCCCCTAGGGGAATTCAGAGGTTCCACTTATTAAGAGGCATATTTACTGATGTCTCTTAATGCCACACAGACAGGGACTTGCATTCTTCAGCACGCAAGAGCACTTACTGTTGTCGGGGCCTCTGTGGTTGGCTTTGGGATGACGTTGATGGTTAGAGTCACTGTGCCAGTTTCAATGCGGACTGTAGCTCTGTCTCCCACTGACAGTAGGTTATCATCTGTTATGAAGACTTTCAGCCTGTAGTTCCAAATTTTATCCAAGCCGCTTTCGAAGTCAAAAGGGGATGCAAGGATGAGCCGCGAGACATTAGAGCCAGCATTTGGTGAGAAAGCGAAGTGGTTATTCACATTACCTAAAACAAAGCCAAGGTAAAATTGCAGATTAAAACGAGTAGCAAATTACAGGAAGGAAGCTTCTGATTTTGATTCTCTAGCATGGATGGATTTGAGACATTTCCAATTAACCTGGTGGTTACTGCATAGGAATCTCAATGCACAAGTTTTGCTTCCCATTGACTTCCGTTGCTCTGTCCCTTACAGCTGATGTATGTTTCAGACAACCAAGTCATCATGCTAGCAGACTATAAAGCTCTGCCAGCTGCTATGCTGAGAAAATTTGTAATTTCTAGCTCAGCTGCAAGATCAGGAACTGTGGTTCTGAACCACCACCTTGATCCCTATCCAAGGTGTCCTGACCTTCTCATCTGCACCTGGACCCAATGATTTCCATGTTGCCTGGGCCATTATCTTCCCTTGACTACAAACATCATCATGGACCAGAGCACATACTGATGAGGAACAGCATCCTCCACTGTACCTGAGAGCTATACCTGAGAGCAGCCGGCTAGTTTAGGGAGGCTGCATAGCCCACACAATTCTGTCCTCCAACCTCTTGCACTACTCCTTGCCCCACCCTCCAGCATCCACTGACCGAGGCAGTTGCTTCATTCTGCCTAAAGGTAGGACTGGCCCTGGGAACCAACGTCATATGCAATCAAAACCACATGAAATGTTCGGTTGTAATACACACTTCATTCTATTAAAGACTGCTAGCAAACAATCACACAGGGAAAGTCAAAAGTCCAAAAGTGAATTACCTGAATCAAAAGAATAACGGAATGATCTAGGACTTGAATCGCGATCCACACATGTAATATGGAATCCAGCAACGCTGCCGGAAGTTTGGTCTACTGGGATGTTCAGCAAATATGAATTAGGACTGCAGATTGGTGGCTCATCATTTGCTTCAAGAACATTCACTGTTACCTAAAAGAAGGGAGCAGGGTGTGTGTATGAAACCACCTTTCCTGTAATTAAGTTACTTTTTTATACTCACTGGCAAGAACTGATCCCCTCCCACCCACCTTTTAGGGATATTGCGTGGTATTCAACACTAGTCCTACTCAGAATAGACATGACTAACTTAGGCTCATTAATTTCAATGGGTCTAAAAGATGTCAAGAGAGGGTTTCTTTCATAATTGTTTATCCATTCCAATGAGCAACAGTGTGAACAAGGAGTGTCCCATTTCTGCAAACAGGAGCAGGTGGGATGGAGTCACAGGCCTACAAGGGAGATGGGGGAACCAGGGTCCAGGGCATTTGCTGAAATAGCAGGAGAGCTGCCCACAAAGAAAGGATAGGTGTTATACCAGCTCCAGCCAAGCAGAGGTTGATGAGGGGTTCTCCTTATGGGAAGCCTACTTTTCATGTGGGGTACTCAATCCTGCTAGCACTTAAGTCAGGTCTCATCCCTCAGCAGCAGACCTTAGTGAAGATGTCAGGCTGCCAAGTGACCACTCCGTTCTTCAGCTGACCATTTCTCTTCAGGTTTGCTATTGTCTTTGTTTGTTTTTGGAGCTGCTGTGGCATAAGGGGAAGGCAGGCATGTGGCAAAGCGTATATGTTGGAGCCCTTGAGTGCAAGGATGGCGTGCCCTTTATAGAGGCTGCCTCAAAGTCCTCGCTAGGTGGAAGCAACTTCCTTTTCTAAGGAGGTCCCATTTGACTCAGGGTCCAGAAGCTGTCAGGTCTGGATGAAGGATGGCTCTGAGTTTTGGAATGGAATAGTGGAAATCGAAACATGAAACTCATCCAGTTCAGAAAACCCCCATGTCTCTGCACTCCTGGAATGCCTTGCAAGTCCTATTGTTTTTATTAGACACTTGGAAGAAAAGTGCACATATTAGAAGTAGACATATTGGCCTAAAAGCCAGCATCTTACTCACTGGCACAGTTACAGACTCGCCATCGTTGTCAGAGGCCTGCACCGTGAGAATGGCACTCTGCCATGTTTCGTAGTCTAATCTAGCTATAATTGTCAAGTAGCCCCCTGTAGGATCAATCCAGAAAATTTCTGAGAAGTTAGGGTTGCCTTTTCCAACTGAAATTGAATATGATATTCCGGTGGGTGGTACATCTTTGTCTGTAGCAATCACTTGTCCGATTCTGGAATAAACTGAAATGAAGCAACATTTGAAACACACACATCTTGGAGGGAAATATATTTCCAAGATTAAAGGCGAAGGACTTTGCAGATTGCCTCAGCAGTTTCCATAACTGCTTTTCTTATTGATGGTTTTCATTATTATTATAACTGCATTCTTAATATTCTGCTGTAAGCTGCCTAGGGAATGTTTGGTGATGGAAAGCTTTATAAATTTGACAGGTAAATAAATAAATCTTCAACTACGTTTTACTCAAAGTAGACCCACAGAAATTAGCAGACCTAACTTAGTCATAGTCATTCATTTCAATGGGTCCCGTTCAGAGTAAAACTTAGTTGAATACCACCCACTATTGTTTATTTATTTATATGCTAAATGCTAGAATTTTGATCAATTGGGATATGAATTAAAGTACAAGCTGCAGAGCTGTGACAGGCAGGGAATTCCTGGGCTGGCTTATACAAACCAACCTGGCTGAGCTATGGCTATCAAAAGAACAACAGAGGGCTATTAGCAATACAAGAGAACTCTCCCCATCACCACCACCCTGAGATGTGAACAGGTTGCCAAGGTGTGTTGGGAATAAGAAGCAGGAAGAAGAGCTGAGATCCATCTTTGGAGGAGGCTGGCTGCAGGGCTACATAGCTGTGGGGTACAAACCCCTCTTGAAATGACCACGCAGTAAGATCTGGACTCCCTTCATGCAGACTGAAGGCATAAATAGGTGAATAAACCATTTTTCTTAAAGCCACAACACTCTCCACCATGCCTTCAATTCTCCAAAGCATCACAGATCCTGTCTGAGTGCCTGGGACCCTATGGGCTCTTGCCACTGCTTGGCAGAGAGAGGGGCAAGCACTTGACTGGTGTGTGTGTGTGTGTGTGTGTGTGTGTGTGTGTGTGTGTTTGTGTGTTTGTGTAACTTACTAACTAAAATGAATGAATGCAGCATTAAGCACAGCACGACTACTTGTTTGAAAGGATGAGTGGCTGATGGCCCCATACAATCGGACATTATTTTGGAGTATACTTACATTCTACAGCCTTGTACATTTCTGAAAGCAGTGTTGTTACTTACCTGCTGCTATTTCTGACACATTAAAAGCATACGAAGCATCACTGAATACTGGCTTAAACTCGTTGACTGGTTGTATTTTGACATAAATGTAGATAATATCTGTAAATATAGCAATTAAGGGAAGGATGAAGGATGAAACAAATCCTGTTTTAAAGTTGCAAATCCTATTTTAAAGAGACCAGTTCCTTCAGAAGAAGAAGAATGTAGAAAAATTAAAAATTAAAATAATAAATAAGAAGAATAAAGGAGATACTTGCTAGCATAGTATGGGAAAGCAATATTCTGCACCTCAGTGGTCAGAGTATATTCTTCCTTCTCTGCTCCATCAGTTGCATTTTCAAGATCCATGTTTCCTATCAGCTGGATAAAAATTGGGAGAATTTTATTTGCTTTTGGCTTATTGTGATTTTACTATTGTATTGTGACTTTAGTGATAAGCTGCATAGGAAAGGTTTATTTCCTTAACAGAGTACAGTGGTACCTCGGGATGCGAATGGGATCCGTTCCGGAGCCCTGTTCGCATCCTGAATGGAACGTAAGACGCGATGGCGCGTCTGCACGTACGTGGGTCGTGTTTTGCTGCTTCCGCGCATGCGCGTGACGTCATTCTGAGCATCTGCGCATGCGTGAGCAGCGAAACCTGGAATAAGGCGTTCCGTTACTTCTAGGTTGCTGTGGAGCGCAACCCAAAAGCGCTCAACCAGAAGCACATTCAACCCGAGGTATGACTGTAATCCAACGGAAAGGGGAGAGGGAGGACAATTCATGGCAGAAGGACCACTGCCTCCTAAGCCCAGCTGAATGTACACCAGACAGGGAAGTAGATGGGGAGCAACTGCCCCACTTTTTGTACTTGGTTATTCTTTTCAAAAATTGCTCCCTGGAACTGTTTTTAAAGGCCTCCCTGATCCACCCCAGCACGTTCCTTTTCTTCCCTTGTCAGAACACAGGCAGTGGAGTCGTGGTGAGAAGTTTTCCGCCATCAAAACAAGACGCCGCCCAGAGGTGATGCTCCTTCTCCACCCGTGGTGCTTGGAGATGGAGATCTGTAGTATGGGAGGCCTCCTCAACTACCCTTCCCAGCAGCTTAGGATTGCTTCTTAAAGGTTAGTATTATTCAATTTCAGGAACACCAGTTACTCATGAAAGTTTGCCTCTATCGATCCTGAGCAACCTCTTCCCACCAGCTTAGGTTGTGACCCCTCCTGGACAGAAGTAGTGTGGCCCTGGTAACTTCAAAATTTGACTATTGCAATGTATATGGGACTAACCTTAAATACTTCCTGGAAACATCGGTCAGTGCAACATGCAGCTGGTTACTAACTGGGACTGGCTGTATGAATCATACTTTGTCAGGTCTCCCAACAGCTACACCAGCTGGCAGTCCATTTCCAGGCACAATTCAAAATACTAGCAATTGTAGTGGTACCCTGGTTTACGAACTTAATCAGTTCCGGAAGTCCGTTCTTAAACCAAAACCGTTCTTAAACGGAGGTGCGCTTTCCCTAATGAGGCCTCCCACCACCGGTGCCCTTCTACCATTCAGATTCCGTTCGTAGACCAAGGTAAAGTTCTCAAACCAAAACATTATTTCCGGTTTTGTGGAGTTTGTAAACCAAACCGTTATTAAACCGGAGTGTTCTTAAACCGAGGTACCACTGTATCTAGAAAGCTCTTGGAACCTGGCTACCTTAAGGACCATCTTCTACTACACAAACCTGCTAAACTTTGTGATCATCTTCAAACCCCTCTTCCATGTTCCCCGCCATCTGAAGTTAGTTGGGAAGCAACCAGAAAGAAGGCCTTTTCAGTTGTGGCACCCCTCCTTGGGGTGGCTCAACAAACCTCAACCTTGATGTTATTTTGGCACCAGGTGAAGACCTGTTTGTTAGCTAGGATGTTCCAGCATGTAGCATAAGGTGGATGTTGATTACAGTGGTATCCAGTTTTAATGCTGCTTCTAAGTGTTATCCGGTAGCAGTTTTATAGTTTCTATTATGTTATTGTATGCTGCCCACGATGGTGACAGCAGTCACAAAATTAAAAGATGCCTGCTCCTTGGGAGAAAGGTGATGGCAAACCTGGACAGCATCTTAAAAAGCAGAGACATCACCTTGCCGACAAAGGGCTGTATAGTTAAAGCCATGGTTTTCCCAGTAGTGATGTATGGAAGTGAGAGCTGGACCATAAAGAAGGCTGATCGCCGAAGAATTGATGCTTTTGAATTATGGTGCTGGAGGAGACTCTTGAGAGTCCCATGGACTGCAAGAAGATCAAACCTATCCATTCTTAAGGAAATCAGCCCTGAGTGCTCACTGGAAGGACAGATCCTGAAGCTGAGGCTCCAATACTTTGGCCACCTCATGAGAAGAGAAGACTCCCTGGAAAAGACCCTGATGTTGGGAAAGATTGAGGGCACAAGAAGAAGGGGACGACAGAGCACAAGATGGTTGGACAGTGTTCTCGAAACTACAAACATGAGTCTGACCAAACTGCGGGAGGCAGTGGAAGACAGGAGTGCCTGGCATGCTCTGGTCCATGGGGTCACGAAGAGTCGGACACGACTAAACGACTAAACATGCTGCCCACAAGGATTTTATTGAAGAGTAACACAGAAATTTTCCTCCACTAGCAGAGCTTTCTTTTGTGATTTAGATCTGTTTCCTGTAATTCATTTATGCAAAAAAACTGTAGCAAAAAAACCCATATGCATACTTCCTGTTTTGGAAGAACAACAATTCCAGTTGAGGAACTATTTCACATGACACGGTAAGCCAAACTATGTGTACTGGAACTCTACAATCATCAGGGTCCACCTGAGTTACAGGTTTTCCTGTTTTAAAAAAGGCATTTGAGTACCTAGAAAGAGACTCTAGAAACTGTATTGTTGCTTTATTTTCTGTACAGTGTTTGGTTTTAGTGATGCCTATGTTAGTTATACTTTCATTTTAATTGCTGTGTTGATAATTCTATGCAGGTTGCTTTGAGAACCAGTAGTTCTAAATGCATTTTTACTTTCTAGTAATTCAAGGTTGCCTCTGCTGTTCTGGCAATTGTTACTTCCATTACATATCTGTTGCCATTCATTTTGTGTTTTTTTAAAAAAAATATTAGTTTCCTCTTTGTACAGAGCAATAAGCTCTGGGGGTTCTAAATTTTCTTAATTTAGTAAATAAATATTTTGAGAATAAATCAATAATAAGCTGACCTTGATCCTTCCGGAACCAGGTGGATCCTGTGTGAACTTGCTACTTCCAACGCCAGACAATCCAGTGAAGTTAAACAGCTGGTTTCGTAACTCAGCATCATAGTCACGACAGCAATCTTTCAAATCAAGAATTATTTCTCCAGGGCGGGCTGTTTCTTTTATCTCTCTCCTTTTAAAGAAAGGCACAAATATCTGATAATCCTTATTCCAGGCCAAATTAATATTGTACATGGGATAAAAAAATCCATTATCCTTTGTTGTTTGTCAGCGAGTCCACTCTAGACTTTGGCGGAGCGGCTGTGATGTCACAGAATATCTATAAACATTCTGGTGGGGGAGGGGGGAGCTTGGCTATTTAAAAAATGACAAAGCACAGCTTCTTTGGGAAAAGCAGAAAGTTGGTCTGATTATGAAAAATCTAAAATAGGTCCTGGGATGAAATATGAGCTGCTGGCATTTAGAAAGGAGCATTATGGGGCTGGAAAACATAAGGAAGATAGCCAAAAAGACAGGAGAGCTCAAGAGGGCAAAATTTGCTAAGAAGTTTTAACAATTTCCTAAGAAGTTTTGACAGTGACTTAGGACAAGATTTTTAAATATATACATATATAACAACTATCCTACTACATTTTCTTATAAGGATTTTATTTTGCCATTTTATTATTATTACTACTATTACTTATTGAATTTATATATTTCAGTGGATATAGTGTTGCTAGTACTGGAGAGTGGCCTTTATTAAGAAAATAATTTAATCCTAATGTTTTGGTGGGGCTTGGTTTTTATTCTAGCAATAAATTACAATTACCACTACAACTTCATAACTTTTAGAACAAACCCTGTGCTAAAAAAGATTCAGGAGATATAATCTGTTCTGAAAACTTGCTCAAATGTTGTGGAATTTGATAAAAGTGCAAAAATACAAATACCTGTAATTGTATTTGTCACATTCTGGTGGTTTGTCGTTAATATCTTCAATAGTTACAACAATTTCTGTTTCAGCATATTGTCCACCGCTAGGCCTATCGTCAACGCGAATGATCAATGTAATGTTGGGATGTTCTCGCAATGGGTCCAAGTCTCGGTCTATTCTTCTAGCCACCAGAAGCACACCAGTTACTGAGAAAGAAATATACTGTAAGCATTTCCAATTGCGTGCAGCACAAATATCTTCTGTGACGTAGGAATTTTATTTTGAAAGGGTGTTTGGAAACAAATGTTTCCAAACACCCTTTCAAAATAAAATTCCCCCACTCTACTCTCTCACTCTAAATATAGAGTTATGCACTCCCAGTTTTTCTGATCTGTGAGACATTCTAGAATCAGCAGCACTTGCTTCAGTCGGTGGGAGAGATCAATAGAAACTAAATAGCAGCTTTTCCCCTTAAATTAATTGCGTTTAGGGTTTCGGTGCAGGAGGTCAACGAACACAGGGAAGGGAGAGTTCCCTCCACCCCACGGCTATGGTTATCTCCGTCCCCACACCGAAAAATACCCAATTAATGACAAATTGACTTGGGGAAAATATTTCTATTGCTTCCAATAGAAGGTTGGGATATATATATATATATATATTTAAAAGCCTAACTGCAGCAAAGGAGGAACAGGGCACTGACCATGTGAAGCCAAAGTTCACTGTGACTTGTTCCCTTAATGATAAACCACAGGTTTTTTGGGTTACCTCCAAACTGTAGAGAAGCAAGTAGAACAAAATCCTAGAGAGCTGGAGAGAGTTTCATGGGCCACCTAGCCCAAGCTACTACTCATGGTAGGAAAGCCAAAACCAGAGTTTCCTCAATTGTTGGCTGCCAGCCTTTGCCTGATGACCTCTAATGAGATACAGCCCACCACCACCTCTCTAGGTAACAGGTTCCATTGCCAAACTCCTCTTCCAATTAAGACATTTCTGCCAAGGTTCAAGCAAAACCCTTACTGTCTCCTGTAATGTAAGCCCATTAGATCTTTTCCTGACCCTTGATGCAGCAGAGAGAGCATGTCTTAGCCCTCTTCTGTGCCAGCCCTTCAGATATTTGAAAGGTGATATCATGACCCTCCTCTTGCCTACTCTTCTCTGGGCCAAGCAAACTCAGTTCCGTCAACATTTACTCAGTGAACTTGCTTTCCGTAGCCCACAATGTTTCTTGCCATTCCAAATCCTTCAGGAATCCGTAAAATGAAATGCTGACCTGCATCTATGGAGAAAGAAGGGATCCCTTCAGGATTATTGATGCTGAAGCGAAGACTACTAACACCTTCCCCATCATCCGGATCCTTAGCTGTTACATTGGCAACCATGGTACCTGGTAGACTTTCTTCTAGAACACTGAAAGCTCTTTGTTTCCTGTTGTAGAAAATGAAGCCACAAACGTGCGGGTTTGAGCAGCTCTTCCTTGTATAAAAGAGAACTGGCATCTTGGGTTAAAAATATCTAGACTCTAGATTATTGTCTCTTCAGTGTGACCAGTGTGAACTTCATTAGGTGACCTCGAGCCAGTCACTATTTCTCAGCCTAACCTACCTCACAGAGTTGTTGTGAAGATTCATGACCACTTCCTTGAGTGCCTTAGACAAAAAGTATGATAATAAGCTGACCTTGGTCCTTCCAGAGACAGGTAGATCCCAGGGCTGCTGCAACAAAAGGCTGTGCAAGCCTTTGGGAGGCAGAGACGCAAGAGGGCATCAGAGGAAGCAGCAAAGGAAAGAGGGACAGAGGCCAGTGTTGCCTGTGGCACCTTCGGCCAGCATTCAAGGCACCCCAGGGTGCCATGGAACACTTTAACATGAGAAGCCCACTTCATAAAGCTGCATTTATTAAGTGGTTTTACACTGCAAAGTAACTTTTGTGCCACACTAAATGACACACCCACAGCACTATCCCATATGGTATGTCCTAGCATTGTGACCAGACAAAAAAAAATGTTTGGTGAAAATCACTGTCTAGCATGTGTCCCACATGCTAATCATTGTCAATATATGTAAACAGAAATACAGTGGTACCTCTGGTTACGTACTTAATTCGTTCCGGAGGTCCGTTCTTAACCTGAAACTGTTCTTAACCTGAAACACCACTTTAGCTAATGGGGCCCTCCCGCTGCCGCCATGCCGCTGCCGCATGATTTCTGTTCTCATCCTGAAGCAAAGTTCTTAACCCGAGGTAATATTTCTGGGTTAGCAGAGTCTGTAACCTGAAGCGTATGTAACCTGAAGCGTATGTAACCCGAGGTACCACTGTATAGAACTGGGTGTCACTTTTCTGATAAAAATAAGAATGCCTCACAGCTGCTTTAAAGTAACAATAACAACAACAAATGAATAATAATAATAATAATAATAATAATAATAATATCTAGAAGATTCAGTCTTGAATCTGTTTGACCCTGACATGCTGAACTGAAATAACCTGCCAAATATTGAGCAGAAAACTCAAATTTGTTAATCACTGTGTTGGAACCATCCAAAACACATGGATCATTAACACTGAAAGGGGACGGTTCCAGACAGCGGCGTAGCGTGGGTTATCAGCACCCGGGGCAAGGCAAGTAATTTGCGCCCCCTAACCCGGGGCAAGGCAAATAATTTGCGCCCCCTAACCCGGGGCAAGGCAAGTAATTTGCGCCCCCTAACCCCTAACCTGCCGCCACTGCCAGCTTCTTCTTGCTGCTGCCTGGTCTGGTCTGGTGTGGTTCTCTCCCGCGCTCAGCGCTGCGCTGGGCGGCCGCTGCACTGTCCCTCCCCCAGATAGTCCCTCGCTCTCTCTCCGCACCGCACGCCTGGCACCCACCCCCTCCACAGTGGGCGGTGACCCAGCGGCTCGGATCGGATTCGCACAGCCAGCACTGCAGTGAGAGAGAGTGAGTGAGCCAGGTAGGGGCAGAGAGCTGTGAGTGCGAGCGCGCCCCCCCAGATGTTGCGCCCGGCCCCCCCTGAACCCCCCACGCTACGCCACTGGTTCCAGATGCCTCCTCCGTATTGAAAGAATTCACAGAAGGAGCAGAGGGTGTCTAGTCACATCCACCCACCACCTCACTCCAACCGTTCACACTTTCAGTGGATATCAAAAGGAGTTCTATGTGTGTACAGATGTACATAGGTAGAGCTCCTTCTGATGGTGATTGAATGTGGTGGTGGTGGTGGCGGTGGTGGTAATGAGGTGATCACAGGCAGGACACTCATCCATCCCAGCTATGTGTGAAGTAGTTTGTGTGAGCTGCCATCCACTTATAAAGCCAAAATACACTGTTTTGATACACCTAGAATTTTTCACTTACATGGTAAAATAAGGTTGTTCATCATTCTTGTTTATGATAGTGACTATCAGAGTCCCACTGGTATTCCGACCAAGGTGGTCTGTTGCCGTAATGTTTAACATATAGCTGTAAAACCAAAACACCCAAAATGTCACATTGTGGGTTCCATACGACAGATCTCTTCTCTGCTAGCAATAATCGATTAAAAAAGCCAAGTTAAGTGCTCATTTAGGGACTACCTACATAATACGTACTCACCTATGTGGATCTTTCTCATAATCAAATACCTTCAAGGAAGAAATGGTTCCAGTTCCAGAAACAGAGAACAGTGGTGATGCTGGGGTCATGGAATACTGAAATAAATGACACAAATTGGGAGATCACAGTACTGCTTTGTTGTGCAGCATGAATCCGAGAGATGCAAATGGCTAGTGAATTGTGCTCCATTTGGTAACTCACTCCCTGTTTTCTTTACAGGAAATGTTGCAGAGCCATAATTCCTCCAGCGATTAGCTCTGGAGCCAAGTGAGGATTCCCAGGTAAGATCCTCCCTCTATTGTGTGGGCAGGTAATCCCTCCCCCACCTGGCCTGATCTCCTTGGCAACGCTTCCCCCAGGTGGGATTGGACAACTGACTGGGGTAGGCGGAGACCTCCAGGTATCCCACCTGAGGGAAGGCAAAGCCAAGCGTATGCTGATGGAGCCGCTCCAGATCCAGGGGCTGCGCGCGTCCACGCAAAGGTTGCCCCCCGTTTTATGCGATTAGCCTGGACAGTCTCCCCAGGTTATACCCAATCTCTGCCTTTGTCCTACTGCGTTATGTCATCACCTTCATTCTATTTTAACCCTGATGATTTTTCACATGCGCAACATCTTATCTTCACACATACTGTACATCACATAAAAACTGCTGTATTAAGCAATATATAAATTATTAAAATAAATACTCAGAACTGTATAGTAAAAAAACCCACAACCAATATCAACTTCACACAATCCCACGTGGGATAACTCCTTCTTCCAAGACAGAAACAATAACATCAAACCCTCATGAGATGGGTAGGGAAAGAAGCTAATGCGCTAAGAATTCCAAGGAGCACCAAAACACATCATCCTTTGTAAAAAGGTAAGCAAAGAAGCATGTGGTCCTAATATATAGTTGTGTGACCTGCAAAAACTCATTCTTAGTTGTGTTACTTAGGTAATGTTTGGGTATGGAGTGGAAACAAACTGACTAATAGTTTAGGGTTGCCATACGACCGGGATTTCCCCAACGTATCCGGAATCCAGTGTCTGGGCAGAAATCGGAAAAATGTCTGGGGAAAATCCAGATGTATGGCAGCCCATGTCGGCTGTGCTGTTTTTGCCAATTTTTCATAAAAATAGCTCAACAACTTTGCCAAAAAAGCTTAATAACTTTTCTGTCACTGTTTGAAATATGGCAACCCTATCATAGTTTAAGCAGGCCTTGATGGTATTCTTAAGGGCAATAATGTCTCTCTGTCTGGATTCTGGGAAGTCAGAAAACGCTGACAACGTCTTGGCTGAACTAAGACATGGGCAGGATCCAACCAATTTGTTTCATCAATGCAAGGATTTCCATTTGTGCAACAGAAATTCCCACTCTCACCTTCCATTGCATGCCCCATAAATCAGTTCTGAAATTTCTTCTAGAGGTTCTTCTGCAGGTGTTTACAAAAATGGAAACCAGATAGACTTAAGTGTATCAGAGTAGTTTATCTCCTTAAAAGCCTGTTATTATGGGTCATTTTCCCTCCATTCAGAGTAATGCACTATAGACTATACCCAAGCACACCAGCTCATAAGTTATTTTCCTTACTTGTTCTACGCATCTATTTTACTGTTTGCTTTTCCTCTTTTAATTTTCATCTGTTGTTATAATTTTTCTCATTATAAAATACACTTTATAAAATGAATTTAACAATCTTTTTTAAAAAGAAGACGTTGTTACGTCCCAACACCTGGAAATCTTCCAGCTACTATCAAGAGGAAAAATTATAAGGTAATGTGGACACATCTGAAAAAATGAACATTTTTTTTTACTCAGTCTAGTTTTCTGTGTGATATCTTCATCCCCGTCAAACTGAAAACTATCCCTATTCACCAAAGCTGGACTGTGAACACTGTCGCTTTTAATATTGTTCCTCCACCCAGCTTGTCATCACAGTAACTCAGTCAATCAATGTCAAAGACTTCAGTGCTTCAGTGCAATAAGTTTCAGATATGCTGTGTGGCTTTTGATCACTTCTGATTACCGAATTCAGTTGAGAAAAGTTTTAACTGTTGTGTTTCCTAGAAAGACTCTCAAGAGGGGAGGGGTTGTGGGAGGGATCCGATCTCCGCCTCAAGCAGGGGGCGTTAGCCCCCTGCCACCCACTCACCTGGCTGGTGCACCACGCCCACGGGCAAGCGCCCAACCAGGCGGCTTGGAGGGGGCGTGGACTGCAGCTTAACTTGCTGCTGCGCCAGCCACGCGGCCTCACTTTCCGCCGTGTTGTATTTCCTAGAACATTATTTTCTAAAATTAAACTCACATTGACTTACCTTAACAGGAGTGCTTACACTAATTTGGTATATGTTTCCACTTGGTGATCCTTCAAATTGGTAGATCATAACAGCTGTGGAGATGAAAGTATAATGTGCATTAAATTAAAGAGGTATTAATAAAGAGATATTATGCAAGCATATAGGTAAGTAGGCCTGAACACATTATGACTTGATGCCTATATAAACCCTGTGTATCTTTCAGATGTAACACAATAAAGGGCTTTTAAAATGCTCGCAAAGCTTGCTGCTTTGTTTAAGAAGTCTGTTAAGCGTTTATGGAAATGCAGCTTTAAGATGCAGTGTAAAGGACACTGGATGTGAAGCTATACTCAAAAATTGCACCCTCCTTGCAGAGTTCTTTCATGTGAAGGATCACTAACAGAACCATCCTATCAGGGCCCAGATTTCAAGGGCCATCGTGGTTGGGCACCTGGGGCTTAGAAGGGCCCATCATCACTACCCTTTCCACCCGGACCAGGGCTCCTGTGCAGTATTGCAGCCGCCGACCGCCACACTGGGACCTCCAACTTGGTGCTGCTGCATACTGGGACCAGTAGTCACCCATCTTCCTTGGACATATCCCTGGCTGGTAGCAGCACTCTGATTCAACACACCTCTCTGATCTATGGTGACCAGCTGCAACCTTAGATAGCCTAAAATACAATGCTCTACATAGATTGCTCAAAATGCACTGCCTGATGAGTAAGATGGCAGGTGATGCCAAGTGTCAGACTGGCTCCCATCTTCATGAGCTGCCGCCGCCCAATGCCTACTGAGAAATGTAGGGGGGTGATTTGTGGAGGTAGCAGCACAGTACAATGGCAGTGGCACAACGGTGGGTGGCAGCAATGCAGGTCAGGTTGGCTCTGGCCCGGGACCAATCAGCAGTGCCATGCTTGAGGGTCCACCAATGTGCTTTTATGCTGGCCCTGAAGCCTATGCATGTTTACTCAGAAGTAAGCATTGGTTTATTGCACCTCCAGCTGAGAGAGAAAACAGATGCATGTAAGTGTAAAAGAAACTGTTGTACTATGTGCTCGTTCTGATATTTTCCAGTGTTCAAATGTTACATAAATGCCCCCAGTCTCTAGTAAGCATCAGCAGAACTGGAGGGAGGTTCCAACAAGAACATAACTTTAAAAACCCCAATTAATTTAAAGCATAGGTCCTAGAGTCTAGGTTTGTAGAGTTGGAAGGGACCCTCGAGGATCATCTAGTCTGACTCCCTGCAATGCAGGAATATGCAGCGGGGATCGAACCTGCAGCCTTGGCATTATCAGCTCCATGCTCTACCCAACTGAGCAATTCACCAATAGACTACTCTTGTGTGCCTGAAGTGCTCACCGAAAGGATGTGGTCTGAAGCATCTGCTTGATTCACTGTTCAGACCTTACCTAACTTCCAATCAAACTGTTGACTTAATGCCTGCATGCTGGGCAAAACCATGTAGGCTGGATGTGTGGAGGAGGAGGAGGAAGAGGGAGATCTTACTTGCTCTCTCTTTCATTTTTTACATGGTCATTAGCAATGCAAATTAATTAATTTATTTACTGCTTAATGCAAAAAAGAGGCTTCTAAGCAGTTTGCAAGAATAAAGACCAATTACACAAACACTAAAATATAAATCTCCATAATTAAAATACAAAATAAAACATTTCCCTTAAAACACTAAAATATAAACTTCCATAATTAAAATGTGCACTAAAACAATCCCATTAAAACAGCACAGCAATTAAAACAGAAGACTCAGGACAGACATCAAGGGAGTGCCAGATGGGGCTTCCCATATTTAAACAGAGAGAGCATTCCTTAAATTTGTACTGTATGCATATATTGTATGCTGTCTCTACCCAATGATTAATTCAGAGTAAGACCATACATGCAAATGTACACAGGCAGTGGTGGAGGAAGCCGCTTGGGCACCTGGAGTGGCAAACATGATGTGCACCCGGGGGTGGGGCGATCCGCCCATGGGGGCACACCGATCCTCCTGGGGGTGCCAGTGCAGCCCGTCGATCATGTGAATACACCCTGTGTGCGGCACTGGCTGCTGGGGATGTGAGCACTGCCCACTGGGGGTGCATCCTCGGTGGCCAGCACCACCCGCTGGGTGTATTTGCATGATCAGTGGGCAGATTTTCACGACAACGATCGTGAAAATCTGCTTGCCGGGGGTGCGAGTGCAGCCACACTGATCCGCCCGGGAGGATTTAGTCACCCCCCCAGGCATGACACCTGGAGCGGACTGCACCCCCCCCCCGCGATGCCCCTGTACACAGGTTCCGTACATACGGAGCTAATCTGTGGAAGCTGGGAGTGGGTACAGTTGGCATGAACACCAGATGTTCAAACCACATGGTTTTGGACTGTGTGAAAGCGGGTGAAAAACTTCCAATGTGGAGATGCCTTGCTTGCCTTCAGAGAGAATTGCCCAGTGTGTATTTCCATGAACAGGACCAGCACTACCATTAGGCAGAATGAAATGACCACCTCCAGCAGTGGCCCTTACTGTTTCACTGCCTGAGGCAAAACAGGAAGGTGCTGCCCTTCATTAACCACAAACCCTAACATTTGGGACCCCTCAAAAAACCTGTGCCAAAGTTTTGCAGTGAAAATCCCACATTTTGAAGCACCTCCCAAAAAAACCAAAGTAAAGTAAGGGAGCTGGGCATGTTTAGCCTGGAGAAGAGGAGGTTAAGGGGTGATATGATAGCCATGTTCAAATATATAAAAGGATGTCACATAGAGGAGGGAGAAAGGTTGTTTTCTGCTGCTCCAGAGAAGCGGACACGGAGCAATGGATCCAAACTACAAGAAAGAAGATTCCACCTAAGCATTAGGAAGAACTTCCTGACAGTAAGAGCTGTTCGACAGTGGAATTTGCTGCCAAGGAGTGTGGTGGAGTCTCCTTCTTTGGAGGTCTTTAAGCAGAGGCTTGACAACCATATGTCAGGAGTGCTCTGATGGTGTTTCCTGCTTGGCAGGGGGTTGGACTCGATGGCCCTTGTGGTCTCTTCCAACTCTATCATTCTATGAAATCATATTCAAAACAGGGGGTATCACCCAAGAGCCCAACATTGTCTAATTCACTCCAAACCAGTGCCAAGGTTTGGCAATTATTTTGCAGCATTTTGCAGGTGGCTTCTGGTGAGTTCTCATGAGAACTTGTGAGATCTCACTGGAAGAAGTCACTGGCGGGCGCCCCATAGGATTCTGCCAATCAAGGTGGCTACTTTAGGCCACTCCATGTGTGAGCTGGCCCAGACCACATCCAGCAGGAGATGCTGGGGGGCCAGCACTGTGAACCCACAGGCTGTTCCCCCTGAGCCTCTGACCACCCCCCTCTTTAGGAGGATAGAGTTGTGTGAGATGCATGGCCTGTTTAGACCCTCCCCCCAACCCTCTGCAACCTGGCCTGCTGCCATCAGGTGTGCTATCCTGTTACTATCAGCATTGAAATAGCATTCAATTGCCAATCCAATCAGCTTCTGCACATAGAATGGAGAGATGGTGTTTTAAAATCATTATTGTTCATTATTTCATTTATATATCACCTTTCCTCCAAGGAACTCAAGGTGGCGTCCGTCGTCTCAGGCAGCAAAATGCCTTGAGTCAGCAATGCCCATGAATCACTGCCTGCAGGTGTGCTCCCTTCCAATCACAAGGCAGATGCAAACCTAGTGGTGCCTTCAGACTGGGACTTTGGGGCAGATGTCCAAGGCCCCATTCAACAGAATGAAGAGGGGGGCCACCAGATCAGTGGAAACATTATGGGGGTGAAGGCAGGGGAGATTTTTACTATTACAAGTCTAATAGTAACGTGCTTCAGGTGTAGGTGAAGTCTTCTTCCAGTGGACGTGAGCTATCAGTAGTGTAGTAAACACTCTTTTTATTTCAAGCAAATGACTTACTTTGATATTTCAGATTGCCTAGAAACATTGGAGGTTCAGGTATATCCAGCACTTGGATTGTCAGTATTTGTAGGTCATTTGCCCCAGCTTCGTCATAAGCAAGGATCTGTAATTCAAATCGATGTGGCATAGCTTCATAATCTGGAACAGGGTTTCCAGTGGTAACAACCTAAAATAAAAATGAGTAATTATTAGCAAACATTGGGTTAGACCCAGAATAAGTGAGTTGCAATTAGCTCCTAATGAAATCGATGGTGCTCATGTTAATTATTATTTGATATAAAAATGGAAAGTGTAATGCTGGTGGTCAACAAAAGAGGTTTAAAGACTCTCTCAAGGCAAATCTTAAAAAATGTAGTATAAACACCGACAACTGGGAAACACTGGCCTGCGAGCGCTCCAGTTGGAGAACAGCCTTTACCAAAGGTGTCATGGGCTTTGAAGACACTCAAACTCAGGGCAAAAGTGAGAAACATGATAAGAGGAAGGCATGTTTGGCAAACCCTCACCATGATAAGCTCCCACGCAGAAACCTATGTCCCTATTGTGGAAGGACGTGTGGATCCAGAATTGGCCTCCACTGTTAAAACCATGTTTATGGAAGACAATCTTACTCGGCTATGAGTGATCGCCAAAGAAGAAGATTATTTGATACATTTATATCCTTTCTTTCCTCCAAAAAGCTCAAGATAACTTATATAGTCCTTCCTCACTTCATCTATGTGGGATAGCTTAGGCTGAGAGGTGGTGACTAGTGAGCTTCACAACTGAATGGTTGACACTGTCTAACCGCTAGACCACACTGGGCCTCAGGTCAAGTCATTACTAACTTTTTACACTTATTTCATTGGGCACTGATTGCATCTAACTTGGCCCAGATCTACAGTTATGTGTTTTAATCTCCCTTATAGTACAAAATTAGAGCATATAAAAATAATGTTTCCTTTTATCAAACTCCATGATGTTTCCAGTTTCATGAGGGTTTTCTTATATGGAATAAGTACCGTATTTTTCCCCCTATAGGACGAACTTTTTCCCCTCCAAAAATGAAGGGGAAATGTGTGTGCGTCCTATGGGGCGAATGCAGGCTTTCGCTGAAGCCTGGAGAGCGAGAGGGGTCGGAAGCTATCCCCCCAGCCCGGCAAGCTCCGGGAGCAATGGCGAAGCTGTGCGCAACGTCGCCATCGCTCTTGGACCCGTTCTTTGGGGCTGGGGGGGAAAATTTTTTTTTCCTTTATTCCCTCCCCCCAAATAAGTGCGTCCTATGGGCCGGTGCGCCCTATAGGGCGAAAAATACGGTACTTGGTTTACTAAAATTTCTGCCACCCTTTAAAACCACCATTTCCCCCTCTGTTCCCGTCATCCCTGCTCTACAAACTTATGCCATTGTTTTAAATCACCAATTCCACCCTGTCAGTGTGTCTACCTTCTTGCTCCCATCAGCAGCAGACCTTGGTAACATGGCGCCCTACGTGAGGCCAAAAATTGACGCCCCACTGCCACAGCCCTCGAGATGCCTTTCCCAAAGCTGGGTAAGGGAGGTGTCAAGCTTTGGGAAGGAGGCAGGAAGACCCTAGAACCCTGTCAGAGCCCTCACACGTTCTACCCAAAACCCAGTGCTTACTAGGCTTTGAGAAGGAGGGGGGAAGGTGCCCCTTGTGGGGGAACTGGCTTCACTGCCCTAAACCCACCTCTGCCAGGGCCACTGGTGTTGTGCAACCTGCCTTCTCTTTTTCTCTCCTCCTCAGTTAAGTTGTGGGTGAACATATCAGACGACACAGCGATTCTTCAAACAGCTCTTGTTTATTCACAGGCCAGAACAGAACTGAACTGAAGGGTTCAGTCAGCCTGCTTATATAGCGCTCCAGTACAACGTAACTGTAACAATTTTCTAAAATTATCCAATCACTGAACGTCACTTTCGATCCCTTATTTGCATAACTATCTACAGTATCCCCCTGCTGGCCCAGGGTGAGAACTTCAGTACATAACATCCTCCACACCGACTTCATGCAAAATCAGGATGGTGATGTGGCATTACAAATCCTCTAATGAGGGCTGTGGGATGACAGCCTTACATTTTTATGTTTATAGGGAAATATATTTAAACAACACTCTACTTTGCACTGGTTTCACTGAGATATTTGATTCAACATTCTATTATTAAAGGTAAAAAAAGTTACAGTGGTGCCTCGCAAGACGAAATTAATTCGTTCTGCGAGTTTTTTCGTCTTGCGAATTTTTCGTCTTGCGAAGCACAGTTTCCCATAGGAATGCATTGAAAATCCAAAAGGAAACAAACTTGCAAGACGTTTTCGTCTTGCGAAGCAAGCCCATAGGGAAATTCGTCTTGCGAAGCAACTAAAAAAACGAAAAACTCTTTCGTCTTGCGAGTTTTTCGTCTTGCGAGGCATTCGTCTTGCGAGGTACCACTGTATTGATGTTATAACAGTATCCTCCACCACTAGAATCTGACGGGCAAGATTTTGAGACTAAGCAAACATTTACCTGGTACATAATTGTAGATCTAGAGTTGATATCAAAAGCTTGTGTGAGTGGGTTTGAGTTTATTATTTTAGGATATCCGCTTGCCAAGGAAACATTTGGGGTTAAATCAACACTGAAAGTATACACCACAGTACCAGCTGGAGAATTTTCTGTTACATTGGCTGTATCAGGTAAGCCAGAAAAACTCAGTGTTCTTCCCCCTGCAGATTACAGAGAATCAAAGCATATATTGTTCAGAAATATTATTTTTAAGTGCAGATTGGTCAACAACGTACACTTTGTCTTAACAGTATCTTCCCATGAAATAGAAACCACTTTGCTTTCTAACTATATCCATCTGTCTACCTTAAGCTTTATGGCTGCAAAAACATTAACCCATTCATAGCACAAAAAATGTAGTTTTTCTCAATGCAGAATCATTCATGCTTATGTTCAATATGCTGCTTTCAATCCATATAGATTCTAGATCCTGCTGTCCACAAAAGTGGACATGGTTATTTGATGTGCCTTTGAAAACCATTCCCTTAATTAGGTTACCCACATATTTTCCTCCCTGGAGATGTCCCAGGTGAGTGAAGTGGTGCTTGCGATCTTGGTATATGCCCACCTACAATATCACTGTGCAGATGTGGACACACACACACACACACACACACACACTGCTGGGACTGCCTACATCTATTTTCAAATGCACACATTGTTGGGTAATACAGAATCAATCGACAATGAGCTTTTATTTTTTGGAATCAGTGAAACCAGTTTATCAATAAGTGCTTTTCAGGGGCAAAAAATATGCAACAGATCTAAATTATATGTGTACTACATAGGGCAGTAAAAATACTCAGTCTCGATTGATTCTAGAATAAAATGTTGTTGTGTGTAACCTAAATGCTGCATCTAGTCAAATGGCCTTTCTAAATAATCTATATCAAACAGCTAATATAATTATAGCAACAATAAAATCAATAACAACAGCAAATAGAGGGGAAATCATGCAATCAATCCCCATGTAAAAGCAAGTCATTTACTAACATTTAAAACACACACTGCAGATGGTGATCACTGCAGATGGTGACAGCAGTCACGAAATTAAAAGACGCCTGCTCCTTGGGAGAAAGGCGATGGCAAACCTAGACAACATCTTAAAAAGCAGAGACATCACCTTGCCAACAAAGGTCCGTATAGTAAAAGCCATGGTTTTCCCAGTAGTGATGTATGGAAGTGAGAGCTGGACCATAAAGAAGGCTGATCGCCGAAGAATTGATGCTTTTGCATTATGGTGCTGGAGGAGACTCTTGAGAGTCCCATGGACTGCAAGAAGATCAAACCTATCCTTTCTGAAGGAAATCAGCCCTGAGTGCTCACTGGAAGGACAGATCCTGAAGCTGAGGCTCCAATACTTTGGCCACCTCATGAGAAGAGAAGACTCCCTGGAAAAGACCCTGATGTTGGGAAAGATGGAGAGCACAAGGAGAAGGGGACGACAGAGAATGAGATGGTTGGATGGTGTTCTTGAAGCTACCAGCATGAGTTTGGCCAAACTGAGGGAGGCAGTGGAGGACAGAAGTGCCTGGCGTGCTCTGGTCCATGGGGTCACAAAGAGTCGGACACGACTAAACGACTAAACAACAACAACAACAACAACAAAACACACACACATACACACACCAGAGAGAGAGAGAGAAAGAGAGAGAGAGAGAGAGAGAGAGAGAGAGAGAGAGGGAGGTATGGAGTACTTATCACATTCATTTCCCTCTAGTCTACAGTCAACACTGAGCTGCATTGATCTCACACCCCACATCCTATAACAAGGTCATTTCCAGTAAGCAATGCATCCGTCTTTACTTCCCATGTTTGCAATTGTGCACTATAAGTCCATAGCAAAACCACTAGGAAGTCACTGTCTAGTTCAGGATGGGCAGAAGCTGGATTGCGGTCCTTAGTGCGCCACCGACAAATTTATGGTGAATCACCTAGCACCTGCTGATGTACTTTCAGAGAACACTGGCTGTGGTGGGCCTTGACCTGATTCAAAAAGGCACTGTCTTATGTCCTTAAGCAAGAATATGAAGTAAAAATATTTTTTACGCTGATTAGTTATAGCTTAATTCAAGAAGTGGTCTGCAAGACCTAGCCATTCCGTCTGTGGCTTCACTTCCTTGCCTGTCCCACCGAAAGCAATTAGACTTGAAAACAGCCTCCCAATTTAGGGAGGGGTCACAGTTAGGGAAGAGAGAGTGAACCCCATCAATTACCGTAAGCCTTAACTGTTAAAAAGATATTTAGTACATTCCCTTTCATAGAAGAAAATCAAAGAGAGACCCTGAAAGACTGGGCTTTGGTCTACTGATTACCAGAATATTAAAGATTTACTGAGAACAATCAAAATAGTGTTCCATATTTAATCTATGAATAAAATCATGTCCTTACCATATATTTCTCCTAACAAAAGAAGGAGGCAAAAGCACAGCATGTCCCGAGTCTTTCTTTGAATGTGGCCATCCATGATCAAACTGAGATATCTTTCTCCTAGCCTACTTCAATCTCATTGCTCAATTTCTTCCTTATCATGGAGAAGTGACAAATCAAACAAAGATTCTGCTGTAGCTAGGGCAGTTTCTAAAACATCAGTCTGTTTACCATCTTGTGAATGGCTCACTGATAATAATCCATCACAAAGTTAGTGATCCTCATAGAGTAGTAATGAAAGGAGGAGGGCAGAAGATTTTAGAAAGTTTACAGATAGCCAGAATTGATTATCTCAACGGCCTCTTTTCAATCTTAAACAACATGGAGAAATTCACATGGCATAAACTGGGAATGTAAGATATGGTTCTACTAAAACAGGCTTACAGAATCAGTTTTATTTATGCTTATTATTATAGCTTTTAAAAAGACATTTGATGGTTCTTATAAGCAGTATTTAATGCCAACAGGATAAATAAAATCTATAATATTAATTTGGGGTATTGGAATGTTGGGTAATCTCAATGCTGAGTTTATGTATCAAATTGGCATGGGCAACTGTAATAAATAAGAGAATTTATGCGGGGGGTTGTATATTTTATACCACTGTATCTATTTCTTCTCATTCTGGGGTATATGAAGGATCTCATAGATGAAGAGAGTGCTTTTCAAAAAAGTGGTAGAATAGAGATTCCCCAAAACAGACAAACATACATATATTTGTATTCCACCCTTCCACAGTTCAAACCATGCTCAAGGTGGCTGACAACATGAAAAAATGCATGCAGTTCTTTACTGCATGTTTTATTTCATAATTTAAAGTAATGGATGTATTTTTTTCCCATTTAAACGGTTATACAAATACAGCCTAACCATGGTTCACTTAATGCCTCTTATCAGTGGTATTAGGCAAGAACCTCAATGCTTTACAATGTAGGCAGTGGATGGGAAGAGTATTCTAATAGTTCGCAGGTCTCATTAACAAGGCTTCCCCTAGGGAATGCTTGGAACTGAGGATTACTGAAGGTGCTGGGAATTGTAGCTGTTACCAGTAAACTACACTTGCCTCATACCAATCCAGATCAGTGGTCCATTTAGCACAGCGTTGTTGTTGTTGTTTCCTCATAGGACTAAATCTGAGTGATCAAGTATAGGTATAGCTTAATTTTAGAATGTAGAATTTAGAATCTATATATCTTTTGTTCCTCAAGATTTCCCCCCATTCTTGCAACTCTTTCCATATTCTTTGTTGAATCTTAATTCTAGGCTTGGGCTAGAAAGACTGTAGGACTTGAATATAAGGAAGGATACTGTTGATTTAAAGCAGAGTCTGTCGTGCCCAGCGGAAGGATGAAGAATACGTGCTCCATACTCTATATTGCTTTATTTACAGTTCAAAGCTGGTATATTACAGAAAGACATCTTGCCTCTGCAGGAGCAGAGAAAATGCATCCTCTCTCCTCAACAGCACGGAGAGAATCACACAGTGAAAAACAGGAAACCAGTGTACGTCACATCCAGTCTCCCTTTCCCGTGAGAAACTCCAACAGTACAGACTGTGGAATGTAAAACAATGTCTTGTGACTGCAGTTGCTGCTCAGTGAGGAAATCAGAAACCAACATCCTCCCCTTTCTGTGAACATCACTGGGCAGCGTGTTCGTACAATATCAGTACAAACCCAACTTCTGCACATAGGTACAGTGTTGATCCCTTGATACAATCTTGGACAATACATCAGCAGGAATTTCATTACCTGGCATATAGGACACCGTTACGAGTCCCTTCTGAATACATTCCTAGCATGCTGCAACTTTAATTGCAAGTGCTTTGTGCTTTGCTTACAACCTTCAGACTTGAGCAAAGCCAAACATGCTTTGTTGTCCTGGTAAACCTGGATTGGACATTTGACAGGAATTTTCATATCTTTGCACAATTGTACTAACCATTCACAATCCTTAAGTGAATAAGACAGTGCATTCAGTTCAGCTTCACAAGTACTTAAGCTAATTGTTGTTTGCTTCTTGCATGACCAATCAAATAGACTCTGATTGTACATATAGCAAACTCCAGACGTACTTTTCCTGTCTGTAGTGTCACTTCCAAAACTTGCATCTGCAAATATTTCAAGACCACCAGACTTCTGATTGTTAAACCTCAGTCTGTAATGCATAGTGCCTTTCAAATACCGCGCTATGCGTTTCAGAGCTTTCAATCCTTGACACTAGGATTGTTGACTTGTCTGCTTAGCAAATTACAGCTAACAGCAATGTCTGGTCTTGAACATCTGGCAATGAAGTTTAGCTTGCCTAGCACACTCCTGTACAGTGTAGTGTCAGAAAATGCTTCTTCAGTGTCATCTACCTGATAACCTGTTGTCATCGGTGTGTCTACAGGGTTAGCATCCATCAGATTTAGTTTGCTTAACACATCAGCAATTTTCCGTGACTGGTGTACTAGAATGTTACCATCTTGATCTCTCTCTATTTCCAGAGATAGGTAGTTGTTTACCTCACCAAGATCTTTCATGTCAAAGTGCTCTTTCAGTTGAGCTAGGGCGCTATTGTACATTGCAACATCTTTCCAGAGCAATAATAAATCATCAACATAAAACAAACAGTACAGTTTCTTTTCGTCCCTCCTCTTGACAAATACACATGGATCAGCTTTCCCTTGCTGAAAACCTAGAGAAACAATACTTCAGTGAGTTTTGTGTGCCAACACCGTGCACTTTGTTTGAGACCATAAAGGGATTTCTTCAGAGCACAAACAAATCCCTGTTTTACCTGTACGCCATCAGGTGGAAGCATATAAAGTGATTCATCTAGAGATCCGTACAGAAAAGCTGTATTGATATCATGGTGACTAATGTGTAGATTTTCCTCTGCAGCTAGCTTGAGCATAAGCCTAATGCTTTCATATCTCACTGTGGGTGAATAGGTCTCGTGATAGTCTTCACCTGGTACCTGTGCAAAACCTCTGGCTACCAATCTGGCTTTGTGTCTGACTATCTTGCCATTTTGATCTGTCTTCGCTTTGAAGACCCATTTGCTTCCAAGCAGTTTCATTCCTGGAACTACTGGAACTAGTTCCCATGTTTTGTTCCTTTCTAAGGAATCAAGCTCAGCCTTCATGGCATTTAACCATGGCTCAGCTTCCTTTGAATCCAAACCCTGGATTTCTTGGAAACTTGAAGGTTCAAATACCTTCTTGGAGCTTTTAACAGCTGTTACTGCTATCGTAGCAAACTCATCAGCAAATCTCTTTGGAGGTTTGCTTTTTGTGGCTCTCTGTGACCTACGAATTAGCCTTAAGTCTTCAACACTCTCCTCTTCCTTCTTAGGAGAAAAACGACCTATTGTGAACAATGGTTCCTCCAATTCTTGATCAGAGCTTTCAGAGGGTCGCATAGAGGCTTTCGCACTCTTGAAATCCTCTGAATCACCCGATTCAGTTTCAGATTCAGACTCAGAACCTTCATCAGTGGGTGTGGGCTGTTGTGGTTGCTTTTGACTATCCTCAGTCTCATCACCGTCATCAGGATAACATTGGAAAATTCCCACATTCTCCCCCCCACTTTGCATTGTACTCAACACTTCTCGTGAGCTTAATTGTCTTAGAGTCAGTCATCATTATTCTGTAAGACCCTTTCTGATAACCAAGAAAGATACCATGCAATCCACGCTTGTCTAACTTGGAGTTTTGTGGTGAGTGAACCCACATGTCAGAACCAAAAATCTTCATGTGTTTGATGTATGGCTTCTTGCCAAACATCTTCTCATAGGAGTACATCCAATCGCTGAAGATAACCTGCGATTGTAACTGTAAACAAAACACGAGAGAGATTCGGCCCAATAACTCTCTGGAAGATTGGCATCATGCAGCAAGGTTTTTAACCCTTGAAGCAATGTCTGATTTGCCCGTTCCGCAAGTCCATTCTGCCATGGCGAGCGAGGACTAGACAAATCGTGCTGAATTCCTTTCTCAGTCAGAAAAGCTTCAAACTGCTGAGAAGTGAATTCCCCCCCGCGATCACTGAAAAGAGTCTTTATCTTTTTACCATGCACATTTTCCAACCAAGCACAGAATTCCTTGAACCTAGGAAAAGCCTCCGATTTCTGCTTGAGATTGTACACAAAAATATATCTAGAAAATGCATCAATGAGAACCATGAAGTATCTATTTCCACCCAAAGAGGGCGTTAGTGGTCCAACCAAATCAGCATGAACTACCTGGTATGGTTCTGTAGCTTTCCTACTAGGCACCTTACCTTTCGCAGCCATTTTCACCTTGTTTGCTGCGCATGCTTTGCACTTCATGTGGTACCTGCAGGGTTTAATAGTCATACCTTCAACCAAGGCAGGCATTTTAGATACTGCCTCAAAATGCAAATGACCAAATTTGCGATGAAAATCGTGAATACATTCTGCATGCAAACTTTTGTTAGAACCTGCAATGCAACAAGTGTCATCCTGCACCACATCATCATAATACAAAACAAACAAACGATCAACATATTCTGCATGCAATACATAATCATTTTCTTTGTGATGATGCACTTCTTGTTCTTGAAGGAAACGTCAATGTTCCGCTCATTCAGCTGTCCAACGCTGAGCAGATTATGTTTGGCGTCTGGCACGTAAAGCACATTCTGTATCGATAAGTCCAAACTGTGAAGAACAACAGTTCCGTAGCCTTTACTGGGAATAGTGTGGTCATCCGCCTGGTGAATCGCACCTTCCTGCGGTGTAAAAGACACAAACAGTTTCTTATCATTGCACATGTGGTGGGTGGCCGCTGAATCAACAACGAAGAAAGATCTAGGCGTCTTCTGGACCTCTGCAACCTTTGGAGTGAAGCGTGAAACCATAGCCTTGTGCTGCGTTGTCCTAGACACCGGACCTTTGCCTTTGCCTCGGCCTTTTCCGCGCGATGAGCTTTCGCTGCGCTGCTCTGTCTTGGCCCTGGGATGTCTGCATTCCCTCTTCATATGGCCTAGACGTCCACACGTGTAGCATTTCACTGCCTTCAAAGCTTTGGCGCCATCTGGTGGTTCCACTGCACTATGGGATGACGTCTGTGAAG